AACATCTTGCTTACTCAGCCTAGTCAGGTGATCAGGTCATATGACCAAGGATGAGGTCATATGAGGTCATGCACAGCCATGTACAGCAGGTCACCTCACCATCCAATCCTTCCAGCAGGTTCCAGCACAAGCCAAGGTATACCAGCTACTTCCATGTCATAAAGGCTTAGTCATGTCTCTTGACCAAGCAATGAGCTGATGCCCTGACAGCCACTTGATCTCCAGCACAGAAAACGGAAACTCATCCCTCTCATTGGCTGTCAACTTTCCTGTGGTGAACAACCACTCCCTCCAAGCTGGATTCTTGTTGGCTGCCTCATCCTTGTCACAGGACCACTCCTTGCCAACCCAGTCATCATGCACAAGTGCTTGCTACACAGACTGCTCCTCAAGGTTGTGCTCATGGCAGAAGTTTAGAATCACACCATGCATCTGACTCGCATGCTGGATTATGAGTAAGCCTCCCATTTGTCCAGCCTCAACACATTGCTGATGATGTGTTTGAGGTCAGACATGCAGCCTGACACAAACACATTAACTCACCATCCTCTGTTTCTCTGCACGCTGCCCAGCACTCTGTTTCCTTCTCCGCTCTTTCCCACTGTCCTCCTCCTCTTTGCGCTGGGCAGTCCATACCTGCTTCAAATGGGGCCAAGTGCCACAAGCCAGTTTGAGCACCACAGGTATGGTCAACCACTTCTCACAGTACTCCACGGAAACATTGTTGGGATGATTCTGTGGCAAGTGAGGGATGTGTTGAGTGTTGAGTGAAATAACTCACCTTTTCTTGCTCCAGCACCAAGGTTGCAGCCCTCGCCTGCAGCAGCTGATTAGGAACAGTATTAATATCATGATTAAAGTCGGGCCAGAGAAGGTTGGAATTGATGGGCTTTGGCCCAAGACCCAGGCAAGGCATCCTGTTGCTGACCTTGTACTTCATGGCAGCGTACAGCTGGTTATGCACTTGGGACTAATGAAAACTGTAAGCATCCCTGAGTCTGCTGCCTGAAGAAGCTGACTCACCTGCAGATATGTTCTTATACCAATCTTGTTAGCATCCAAATGCTGTCTCTTTAGCTTTGCAGGGTTTTCATTGCCTGAGGAGAGAAGCTCAGGTGAGATTGCTGGGTCAGGGGCTGCTTGCAGCTTCATCATCCTTTTCTGCTGTTTTGCCAAAGGCTTATCAAACGCAGCCTCAAGAGCCTTGAGACAACAATGCAGGTCTACAATGCTTGCAGGCGTAGCAGGTGCATCACCCTCAAAATTGACTATGCTGTCTGAAGCAGCAAGGAGGATGAGAGCCTGGAGTGCAGTTGAAGGTGAGGATGTTGGGAGAGGTTTGCTTGGAACAGGTGAGACAGGGAGCTGAGTGAATGCTGAGAGAGGTGATGGAGCTTGCCTCTTGCTGGAACACAAGGTGAGTCATGTGTTGGTGTCTGGCAGATGAGCACTCATGAGGATAGCAAGTCTGTAGTGCCTCCAGTTCCACCAGTACTAGTGGTACTAGTACTGTTCGACACCTTGGTCATCCAGCAGAGCAGTGGCACTCTTTTGATGACCCTCTGGGCCTCTGGAAGCACTTCAAGTGCCGCCATGAAATCATTGGAGGGGGAAAATGTCAGGATGGACATTCCAAGAGGTTAGAGGGGGATGAAGCCAGGACAGCAGGAGCAGGGAGGCCAGAGGACTTTATGCATCAGATGTGGGGAACAAGAAAAAAAAACCTGGGGTTCAGAACAGCTGGTTGCCCCAGTGTCAATGGGTTGGCTAGGTGGATTTTACATGGATTGTGCAATATTAATGCATCAATTGGCTGTCCAAATCCCATGTTACTATTAATATTGATTATATTACATCTGCCCCACCCTGGCATGAGAACAGGGAAGATCAACTGACAATACCTAGCCTAGAGCATCCATTTCAGATCCTCTACACTATATCCTAGGACAGCATATTAAACTCCATAGGAAATTGTCTATCCTAAGCCTTGTGCAGGTGCCCTACACAGCGTCTACTTGGCATTGATCAGGTGATCACAGGTGTGCTATAAGACCCTAGGATATCCCCCCTTGACACGCGGTGATTCACACCTTTTGGCAAGGGCAGGCGATGAGTTTGGGTACAAGGATGAATGGCACCTACCTGTAAATGATCGATTCCTTCTGATCGATTTGCTGTTCGCTTCCGAGGCACTTTTATCTCCGGAGGCGCCGCCAACCACGGGAAGCACGGTCTTCGACACTTCCCGTGAACACCTCACTAGACGAGCTCTAATGTAAAGAAGTGCTATATCTAGGCTGTATAGGTCAGCCTGATGCTATTGATCCGGCTTCGATCCCCATGACTAACCATATGATTATTAGGACGTATTCGTACCACTAAAGGCCATTGACATTCCACCTCACACCCGATTTCAATCGCCCAACCACTCATAGAGCCCGACGCCTTCGTACACTTCCTTTCCCTAATTCCACCAACACTCTTGCCTATCCAGCGTGTATACAACGGCGGTGCGGCCTCGACAACCTCGTGGTTCGTGACCTTGACATCGAGGATACCATGATGGCCCATATCGTAAACAATGTGGAATCCACTAGGCGGGGCGCCGGGGATAGGAGGATACGTTGAATTCCGCCCTGTGGGACGAACAGTCATGCTTCCACACGATTCTGCAAGGACATTGCCATCCTTGGCAGCGTAGCCAGATTGATGTTCGATCCCTTGATTGTCCAGGGTGTCGTACCAGACAATCGAGTACGGTCCAACACGAGCATGACCCCAGTACCAAGTACCGAGGTCCTTGATGAGAGACACGTCTCCATAATTCTGGATCCAGAATGAAGCCGACGCCCTGACCGCACGAGCAAACAAAAAACGAACCGAATCGTGATATCCCGCACCCTTGAACTTGAGTTTCTTACCATTTACGTTCAGGTTAATGAGGGCAGTCGCATCCGGCATAGCGTTGTGCCACCCAAGGTGTGGTACGACTTCCAAAGAAGCACCTTTCGTGGCTGGACCGCATTGGGCATGATGCGGTGCCTCCTACTCCAAGATCAGCCTTTGTCATAGTTTCTCAAGAACGACGATACGCAGAGAAGATAATTTGATAGAGCCAGTTACGTTGTTAATCTTTTCGTCAATGTCGATGTATGCGAAGGACAGGTCGGAGGATTCAAACCAGCTATATCCGGTCTCATTCATGATCCCATATGTGCCGTCACCTTGAGTTGTCAAGATGACCGAACCGGATGGCAAATCAACCACTTTAGTGGTCCCGTCTTCGAACGCTACATTGAATTCGATGAAATTGAAAGGGGCAGCGCTAGAGCCCGTCGCAGCAATGGCGTTGATCATGAAGACAATGACGATGGCTTGGTCGAGATCGTCAGATACCGCATCAAAGTACCACCATTCCCAAGTTGTCTCATCATAAAAGTTTGACTTGGGAGCATCGAATGGACCGTCGACTGTAAATTGCGTAGTACTGGTGCCGTTGACGGGGTAAGGTGGATAAATGTTGACCGAATAGGCTCGAACAAGCTCGAACAAGCTCAGGAACAGTAAACAACAGAGCATGGCTGACAGGACGGCCGAGCGCAACTACGAGAACTTCGTGGGCCGACAAGACCGTCTGACATCAGCATTTTATACGTCCTAAGCCCAGCCAGGTAAGACAGCCACTATCATATTCCAATGTTAGCTTCTGCAGCCGTCAGAATCGGAATCTTCCAAAGTGAGCTAGTGTTGGTTACCAAAGCTTGGCCATTAAGCGCTGTCCGCCGGACTGTTGCTGGATCGAGAGCATGCTGACGACACATGTCGGAATGTGGTATACAAACTCGGCCGCCGTAAAGATGCATTATAAGACCGAGAGCCAAAGGTCAGGTGCCTTCATCCCACGGCAAGACTATTGCAATATGTTTGCCGTGCAATTCATTTGTAATGTTATGGTTGAGAGGAAGACAAGCCCGGATCGAAGAAGAGATCATAGTGATAGCAAAGCGTCCTGAGTCGGAGTATACACGAGATGAGTAGTATGTAGGAGCGCGCGCAGCGGAGGCAAAAGACCCTGTTTTCGCCCAATATAGCAATTGCTCCAGAGTCTGAACGTATGGGCTTACACCGAAGCACAGAGTATGATATAATATAATACAGTGAAAAATATGATAATATCACCCTACCACTAACCCTAACCCTAACCCCTACCCCACCCTAACCTCAACCAACCCTAACCTGCTAGATGGGATCCTAACCAGTACCCTAACACTACGCAGGGGAGGAATTGCCTTTTTCGGAAATTACGGAGGTACATTGCCCCCGTCCGCGCGAACACGCATAAAGCTCTTTCCTTTTTAGGGAATTATGGACGCAGTTTGCCTCTGCTGCGCGCGTCCTACACCTACATGCTACTCATCTCGTGTGCGCTCCCTGAGTCGGCGGCCGCGAACCCTATTTGGCGACCAATATACCGCTGACGCATTTGTCGGGCGCCGCGAACAAAGGGCTGCTAGAGTTGAGGTGAGCTGCAATAAAGGATTCACGATTGATTAATGGACTTTAATCCGGAGCATACTAAACAGATAGTGAGAAGCAAATCGGAGCCACAAACCCATACATAATGTTCGACACCCTGATGTATCTCCGGATCTCCGATGCCGCCGACCGAGTTACCAACCCATCTCGTGTACTCGGTTGTTCCGTCGTTTGTATTGTTCACCTCAAGAACACTGCCGTCGCGCATGCGGTAGACAATACGGAACTCGCTTGGTTCAGCCCCCCGAAGTTCTGGAGAGGTTGAGTTCCGGACACCAATCCACATGACTCCGTAAGAACAACGCCGCGCGCAGCGGAGTATCCGTACTGGTACTTGTTTTCCGATGTGTCAAGCATGTCAACTAAGACGAGTACGGGACTCGGACATGACCCTAGTACCAGGTACCAGGTCAGCAAGGAGGCGCTGATCTCCCCACCTCTGCAACGGAAGGTCATAGAGTGTACAAGAGCTAGCGGATTGGTTGTACCTTTCAGAGTCATAATAGCCGATTTCAGTAAAGTTAAGCGCCTTGCCAATATCGATGTTGATGTTCGCATAGGTGGTTGCGTCTGAAGTTAAGTTTGCCCAACCTAGATAGGCCTGCCTCTTTGGCCAGGAGAACAACACAACCTGTCTCACCACCGTGCCCGCCTGGACCGAGCCTGTCACCCAATGCGGGAACATGACCATCGTGCTCGACAACGTGGCTCTCCCGGGTACAACAAGCATCGATGGGATTTCCGTGGCCGGCCCACATTAGGCATGGTGGGGTGCAACCTGAGGAGGCGAGAGGGTTTGATAGCGCAGATTGCATAATGCAGAGGAACGGAGATGAACGAAGGAGTACCGGTGGTGTTGTTGACTGAGTCATGGATGGCGATCACCAAAATGAAGAGGTCGGACGCTTCAATCCAGCCATGGCCTGTGCCATTGAGATTCGCGCTCGCACCGTCGCCGTCCGTAATTATGAACACTTGGTACGACTGTACATAACGGTATAGAGAAGCAGAGTCTCATCTACAAACTCGTTGACTTCGACGCAGTTGGGTTACTTGTTCAAGTCAGAGTTGCGGTTCGACTTGATCGAGAAGGCGAGGAAATACCGCCTCTGACAAGTTGTGATGTTGCAGGGATCGGTCTTTGGTCCGTCAAAGGGAGCCCATCATGGCAAAATCGGCCGTGCTAGTGCCGGGTAGGGCAGAAAGACGTTGATCGACGCCACATAAGCGAGGAGCCCGAGCAAGCTAAGCCAGAGAATAGTGGCAATCATGTTGGAGAGAACGATCCGGAGTTGCTTCAGCGGTATGGCCTGTCCACGTTATTACACGCAAGCAATCCCTTTGTAATCACATAGCAAAGGGACAAGATGCAATTTTCGATACGACTGCGAGCACCCCGAGATGAGACGCTCCAGAGCCCATCAGCTTCTTCCGGCTTGCCGTCCTCAGGTTCCACATGGTTATCGAGCAAGAACTAGACTTTTGAACTGGGAATCCGCATCGAAGATAGCTCGTTGCAGAGAACACGTACGGTACGGTATCTGTATGCGGATTCCGTGCTGACACTAATTAGTAGTCCAACACCACGTTCACTTTCGACGCTACACATTGAGATCTCCTGGGTCAGCTCCGGCGGCCGTGCTACCAAAACAGAGCAGAATATGCAGAGGGAGTCATCAGAAACAAGGCCTCGGTGCCGAAGATCAAACGTTGTGGTCGTGCAAGAAGGAGGGATGGAAGCCCACCTCCGGCCCCTGAGCTGTGAAAAAGCATTCGTGCCTAAGATTTGTAGGACATTTCCCCTTTCTGGGATCAACAATCAGCGGACTTCGAAAGTTGTGTGAGGATATAGTATAAGGATGATATTACTACGAGTACAATACAAATCTCTAGGGTAGTCTCCCTACTGAACGAGTCCATCAACCCTTGAACGACCCTTCATCCCTGTCATCTGCCCACAGCCGCGCATACTCTAAACACAAGCGATACACATACGCTTCCATGTCAACTTTCCTGCCAATAGTCTTCTTCCACTGCCGGCCGGCCTTCGCAATCAGCCGCAGTTGCGTGTCCCCGTCGTGTTTCCGCCCGATGGTAGGAGGGACGGGATTGGTGGCGTTGGCGATTTGGGCGAGGGACTCTCCTCCTGAGAAGTAGGAGTAGATGTTGTAGATCTCTTGATAATTCTGGGAGACGGGAATGAAGTGGAGCCTGATGACATATGATCAGCATGGGAAGGACAACCATGCAGACCGACTCACCAAGGTTGGATCCACTCGGAGAAGTACTCCAAATATACAGTATTCTTCATGACCGCGCTCTCACTGGCCAAGAAGCCCATAAACCGCGCCGAGTAGCCCATCCCATCCACGTCAATCAAATACTTGTACTTCCAATGTTCATTGAGCAAGACGGCGTCTGCAAACCTGTGCTCGCGACGCATGGCCTCACAGCCCCCACCTGGGTAGGCAGAGCATCCCACCGCTTTGGTGAACGCAGCGTCGATGAAGGTGTTCAGCGTCGGGATGGGTACTTGTGCGGCGACGTAGTGGTTTGTTCCTGGAGGGTTGGCGACTACGACGGTGCGGTTTTTGTCTGACGTGACGTCGGATGTCATGCGTATAAATCTGCAGCTAATGAGTATATGCGGGCAAAATCGACCTGGGGAACTCACCGATGCCTCTGATAATGCGCGATGAACCCCGGCGGGCTACTTCCTCCACCCGTGGTCGCCCCTCTCCAGAATATCAGGTCCTTCTTCCTGTTCCACCTCACCTCGCCATCATCGGTCTCCTTGATGACCTCTCGTACCGGGTCCCACCCATAGGTGTACCGTTTCGTGCTGGCATAGTAGTAGTGGCTCGGAATGAGGATGTCTGCGAACCCGGGTGCCTTAGCAGGGGAGAAAACGGGGTAGAGGACGGGAATTGTACGCCAGTCGGAGAAGAAATGACCCTGCTGGACATGGATCTCCGGATGGTCGCAGAAGGAGAAATGGTCATCGGTATCTTCCTGGAAGGAGAAGTCACCGCTAGGCACAGGGGCCTTTCCCCGTGCTTCGGCCTGCGCACTGAGGAGGTTCATCGGGATCTGTCCGCTTTCGAGCTGAGCGACGGTGGCGGAGTATAGTCGCCGAGCAGCAGAGGTAGGCGGGCAGGTGCGACGGAATGCTTCCCAGACGGAGGAATCGCCCCGCCAATCGGGGATGAACTTGCCTCCGAGCATATCTTCCACACCGCCTGAGGAATCTTGTTTTGTCATATTTGGGTAATGTACATGCTCCCAGGGGATAAGAATGCGACCCTCGGCTTTGGCGTTGATAGGAAAGTCAAGATCAGGCAACTGAACAAGGTCAACTTCATTCAGAGGCGGGGAACAAAGACGCACCTCTTTCATAAACGGCTCAATCATGACTTTGAACCCTCTTGCACGAGCTGAGACTTCGGAATCGTCAAAGCCATTTTGGATGTTGACGACCTTGGCGTCGCCATTCCGTATACGAACAAGGTCGATAGAAGGGAGGAGAGCGACCTGTTCCGAGCGACGTCTCATCTCGTCCGATGAGAGAGCAAAGAACGGCTCGAAATCGCGCATCATCTGGTCGTACTCATCCCTGACCTTGACATCATGTTCCTCGCAGAACTTCCACCACTTGTCGAACCCCTGCGGCGGTGCCCTCTTATACCTCTTCTTGTACTCTCTCACAGCCTGGTCGAGCGTCTGACTCTGCCTCGCTACAAGAGCACGAAATTTCGTCTGAGCATCGAGCATCAGCTGTGGGATAGGATGTGCGATCCCACGATCGACGGAGGATGAGCTGGATATAGCCGAGAGGGAGAACCAGCTTGCATCGGGGTTCTGCCTGCGGTTGAGGATGATGAGGACGACGGCGGTGAGGGACACGAGGGCGATGAGCACCCTTCTCCGGGGGGCGGAGTTAAGGTTTCCCATGTCGTTGACCGGGCCAGGAGGAGGAGAGAGGGAGAGCGCCTACGTGTTGAGGTGCCTCTTCGGATGCGAGTTGAATGCGAGCCTCCTCTAAAGCGCGTCTTTCAGAATCACTAAACGGGAGCAAAACGAGGCTAGACCCTAAAAGAGTTTGTCCGAACCGCAACTCCGTTTCCCCCTTCGGAGCCGAGTACTCGCGGAGGCGATCACCTCAATCGCCAAGACACGTACGTTCCCCGAACGCCCCATGAACTCAAAATCATGGACCTGCACGACCCTCATCCCACTTTAAACCGTGGCTTAAAATAACACGTCCGTGGACACCTCGTCCACTAGCGGAGAACCTCTTTCCGTCTCACGGGTAAGGCTCGTGCCGCTCTTGGCGGTGACTTCACTCCGAGAGGTTCCGCGGTCTACGCTTAGTCGACGCTCTCCCACGGAATTGTGGCCTATGCCGGAATTCTCTCTGTGTAGTCAAATGCATAGGCAAGGAACGGTATAAAAACGGCTTCAGCTCTGGGCAATATCCCCTGAGCGGATAACATGGTCCCCAAAGTAGTCGTCGTAACGGGCGCCACAGGCACTCAAGGCAGCGCAGTCATCTCCTCCCTTCTGAAGAGGGGTGGCTACCTCCTGCGAGGCTCAACGAGACATACAGACTCTTCTGCCTCTCAGGAACTCACAAGGAAAGGAGTGGAGATGGTGCGCGCTGACATTGCGGATAAAGTCAGCCTCGTACAGGCATTCAAGGGCGCTTACGCGGTTAGTTCCCCTTGCTCACTTCGCTTTGAATATGCTAAGTGAATGATGCTCAGGTATTTGGGAACGCTGTGTTCCCGTGCCCGCTGGATGCCGAAGTACAAGGAAAGAACATGGCCGATGCATGCAAGGCGAACAACGTACCGCTCTTTATCTGGTCTTCCATTCCCAGCGCTATCCAGCTCTCCAAAGGAAGATACACTGATGTCACGTGCATTCCTCCCTGTCTCCCGTTATCTGAGCACGCTCACCCGTTCCCAGGCACTGGGAACAGAAACACGCTGTAGATGAGTACATTACCTCCGTCTCCCAGCCGAGCGTGATCCTCCACCTCGGTGCCTTCCTGGACAACCTCTTCACCCAGCCCTACCGGCTCTTCCCTAGCCCAACTCCAGGGAAATGGACACTTTCGTACGTGCTCGTCCCTGGGGATGTGAAGATGAGCAGTATCTGGATTGGAGGTGATTTTGGTGAAATCGTGCGGGCGGTTGTGGACGTATGGGAGGAGGACGGGTGGAGGGAGCGGTTGATGAAGGAGCCCATCTCTGTGGCCGGCGGGAGGTACTCGCCTAATGACGTAGGGGAGAGCATTGCACGGTGTGAGTCGTTTCCCCAGAAATAAAATCCAGTGCTCACCGACAAGCAGTATCCGGCCAAGAAATAGAAGTTGTAAACCCACCCGCCCCACCCGGTTTTCCTCCCCATCTCATCTCTGTACTGCCCTCATTCGCTTTGCCGATACCATGTACTGACGCATCACAGATGTTCAAGCTCTTCAGCGATGGGTACTATGATTTTTCTGGACCCAATCCGCCGGAGATACTGCTCGACTTGGGACTCAAGTTCCACAACTTGGACGATTTCGTCCGGGAGGCAATCCTCCCTCGAATGCAGGAGCCAGCCAAACGCCAACCACGTGATTGTTCATCCCATTTGTTGATTGTATGTAGTGCTACATCTGTTTCTATTCAGTGATGAAAACACTATGTCTTCCTCACTGGGCCGTACCCCTCCGCCCGGCTGTGCAGGCGGGTAATGATCTCCAGATAGTTCGGCTCGTTCTCTGCGGTCAAATACCCATGGCGTATCATAAAGTCGATAATGACTATATGCAAATGAGGTATGCCGGGAAGGGAAAGGTGGGACCACGCACCTGCACCGCAGTTCGGCTTGAATCTTCCGGCATGCATCTTCTCTAGTATATCGTCGAGCGAGCACAACTATCGCGGCTCAGTCCAGGTCTCCATACGAGCAGGAGAAACGCACCTCGAACGACTCCACTTCCCCATCCGACGGGCGGGGGGACTCATCCACCCCCTCGGGGAGGAACATATCATACACGTACCTGCGCTTATCAACTTCCTACCACACAAAGCAAAAGGATAGCGCATACTGCACCTCAGGCTGGAGCCAGCCTCCCCGCTCTTTGTAAAAGTAGGTAATGGAGCTCACTTGCTTGATGTGCTCCCGGACGAACTCGGCGGGCAGGGACGCCTCTTCTTCGCATTCCTTTATCATTGATTCCAGCGGGGTGAAACCGTGTGGGATCCCACCAGCGCTTTGTATGAATGAGATCAATAGGAAGGATCGGTGTTCTAGAAGGCGTACACGGTGTTATCGAGGTATAGCGGCCATCTACTCCAATTGTTTCAACCACTCCTTATGAGTACAGCGAAAGCACACACGTAGGCTTGTTCTTCGCCCTCGTCGGGACCCAAATCCTCAGCTCCCCGTTGACACGCTTGCACATAGTCATATGTACTCCGTACGTGACCACGCCGAACAGCTGGCACGCGGAGCGCTCCATTGCGAACGCCCCGTTCTCGGGTCGGACGTCAGCGTACGGGTGGTAGTGGATCGTGTACTGCTCATTACGCCAGTTCTTCCCGCCGATATTTTCGGGAAAGAGCCCAGCGTCACGCCAGGTCGTGCAGAGGTCGTGCATCACCTGCGTACGTAAGGCAGGGGTATTGACCGAGGGCAGGAAAGCAACTTTCGGCAACGGTCGATTCCCATCCGGTACCAGAGAGAAGATAGGGTGATCCTTGTTGTAGTCTATTAACGCGTCCAGAGCCGGCTGGGGGATGAATCCAATCACAGTGCCGTAGGTGTCGTCTAGGAACCACCTTGCTGGAGGCTCGGAAGCCAGGCTGGGGTCAAAGTTGTCGACAACCTCGACATGTGGTAGGAGTGTCCGTCCCGCCATGCAGGTATAGTACAGAAATTCGAGATAAGGAAAGGAAAGCCGCAGCACCGGATTCTAAGGTAGATAGTAGTTGAGCACTAGTGGTATCATCCGCGGGCAGCATCGTCAACAACGCCACTCACGCAGTTGATCTTCATCGCTCACCTGTTCATCAACGGCAGTCGGCCGTCCACAACACCCACAACGGCGCACATACATCTGAAGCATGTCACTGTGGGTCGTGGGCACCTTGGCGGGCGCGTTGACTGGCGGTGTGGTATGCATCCTTCTCTTCATTTCTACCGACCGCTAAGGGCGCTTCAGATGTACCAAGCGTTCTCGTCATCCATCCGAACGAGGGCGAACAACGTCTCGAACGCGTATGTATCACATTACCCTCCATCCCTTACCCAAATTCTTATCTGAATAACTAGACTGCATGGATGCTCTGTAGCCATGGCTGATCCTCTGCCACCGGGTCCCGTCCCAGCCTCACAGCGGATCGAAGAGCGGCCCTTCACAGAGCTGCTTAAGCGCAAATGGAATGAAGAGATCGAGAGCGCATGGGTTGCGGCTCTGCATTACGACTATGCTGGACTTTGGAGTCGGACGAAGGGGTATTCGCGTGAGCTGATAGAGCGGGCAAAGTCTTCCTCGTCGTCCGCTTCATCATCATAGGTGCGTCCGAGCGATATATCCCGACGTTCCGCGACTGACACTACTCCAGATGTACATATCCATTCTCATAATTGAAAACAATATCCGGCACACCCTCGCCGCTGTGTTCATATATGCCGACACCAGTCTCCGCGTGTCCGATGTCCGCGACATAGACTTGTCTCAGCCATCCAGCGTCAGTGTCGTGCAATGTCGCGGGCTGGCTGTATGCTGCTATTGGCTGTCTTGTGTTGGAAAGGTGCGTTCCGACTCAAACTGGCCAAGATAAGAGCGCGTTCACCCATATAAAGCGGATCAGTCAATGCCAGCTCCCTTCAGAACCGCTTGTTTGATACAGCCTTCTCTCCATTTCACCTCGCTGGTCGTCCACACATCCACTTCTCCCCTCCCACTCAACCCAGAATGCCCGCTCGCTACAACGCTTCGCATTTCGGTATCTCAGTCACGCTGGATGACCTCAGCAGCGGGCTGCACAAGGTCAACGAGGATATCCTCCACACCTCCCTGCACCAGCTTCCGATGGATGAGCGCACCGCTCTGATCCAGTTGGTCCGGTACCTCGCTGCGCGTCTGAACATCCTCGCCGAGCTGGCTTGGTCAATGCGCTCCGGCAGGCCCATCTCCATCCCTCGCCCGAGCAATAGCACTCCTAATCCTATGGGCGATGTCCTGCACCTCCAACTGCCACCGATCCACTCGTCAACATCCAGCATCTACGACGCTCTCCGTACGGCCGCGTCTATGCAAGAGCAGTTCATCCATGTCCGCTCCCTCAAACTCTCATATGCCGATATCGACTGGCTCGAAGAGCTTGAAGTCCGCACCCGTACACTGGCATTCGAGTTCCTCACTGAGCTCGTTCCGAAGATCGAACAGATCAGGACAAGGACACACCATGGACTTGTCTCACCTATGAGCCGGACGTGGTCAAATTCGACTACTTCTAGCCTTTTGGACCTCAAGCAATCGGTTGGAGACTGGTCCTCTAATGATTCCTCGCCGGCGTCATCCAGCTCAGATTCTCGGGGCTGGTAAGGTGATGAGATCAAGCATCACCTCCACGTCGAGCTGTGCTCGACACGCATTGTTTCTGTATTCATAGTTTCTCTTTATGACGATCACGAACCTCTTCATGAACACAACTTCATGTATTTTTGGCATACATCTCAACCCAAAGAATATACAACATAATATTTGACCAAACCGTCCTTGCAAACGTTGCTTTTGCGGCAATTATCACCATAGCGGCACTTCAACATCCAGGCCCTCAATCCTGCTCCTCACAACGCGGCCTTCCTTCATGACACCCAGTAAATACTCGTTCTGACGGTCAATGATCGTGACATCCTCCAACGGGTTCGCCTTGAGGAATATAATATCCGCAAACGCACCGGGTGCGATGGTTCCAATCTTGCCCACCATCTTGAGTAGCTTGGCCGGGTTCGTCGTCGCGTGCTTGAGCACTGTCGGGCTGGGGAGCACCTTAGCCCGGACGACAAACTCCTGGGTCTGGAACGCGTGCTGCACGCCGAGCAAATCTGAACCGTAGCACACGGTCACGCCTGCCTTCTCCGCATTCTGTACCGCGATCAGGCCAGCGTCGCGCACCATTGCGTTCTTCTCGCGTTGGGACGGGAGAAGGAACTTCTCAAAAGGCGGGTTCATGATGATCCCGTGCACGGCGAGTGTGGGCGTCAGGTAGATACCTTTCTCTGCCATGAGCGCTGCGGTGGGCTCGTCCAGCAGGTTGCCGTGTTCGATACCTCCAACCCCGGCCTCGATTGAGTGCCGAATGCCATCGTTGGTGTAGCAGTGGGAGGTGGTAATAATACCACCCATGTTCTTGACGGTTGTGGTGATCGCGATGATCTCTTCCTTCGTGAGCTGCGTCGCTTCGAGCTTGTCGGTGACCGAGCCAACACCACCCGACGTCTGTAGGATGTTGAATACCGAGGGTATATACAAAATTCAGGACTCACAGTAATCTTGATATGATCTGCGCCCTTCCTCATGAGCTCTCTGGCAGCCCTCAACGCATCCGGTACCCCATCCACCAACCTTCCCAGTCCAGCTCCCCTCACACCACAGCACACCTGCGGCCCATACGGGTCGGTCGAGTCCCCATGCCCGCCTGTCTGTGAGAGGACAGGGCCACCCTGAAAGAGGCGAGGACCAGGCGTAAGCCATTGTTCGACCGCTTCGGCTTGGGGTTTCGTGGCACCGCCGACGTCCCGCACGGTCGTGAAGCCTTGGGAGAGCATGTCTAGATGTTGATCAGCGCATGAGCGGGAGGGTAATACGAGAAAGCGTACTTTTCAATACCCAAGCAGAGCGGATAATAGCTGTGTCTCTCACGCCATTGATCGTCTCCATAATGTTCTCGTAGCCCGGAACGGCCATGATATGCACATGGCAGTCAATCAAGCCTGGGCACATATAGAACCCCTTTGCATCGATAACCACTCCCTGCAGCTCTTCCACCGTCAGGCCCATGTCGCTCTCGTTGCTGGTCTTCCCGACGCTTTCCACCAGACCATGCTTTAGCTTTACGGTGACATCCTTAAGCACGCGCTCGTTCGCCGGGTCTACGACATTCGCGTGCACGAACACGATGGATGTTTGTTCAGGTAGAGCCCAGGGCTTTTCAGTGATGTCCAGGTCTGGGGGAACCGGATACTGCACATGCCGGAGGGTACTGTGCTGCGGTATTATGGGGACAGCGTTGGTGTAGGCCGCGCCTGGGGGAGGGGAGGTCGCGAAGATCTGCATGCTGTAACGTTCATTGAGTTCAGCTTACAATGTTTCAACACCAACGTCACTCACTTCAAAATCGCAGAGGTGGTCGCAAGTAGACAAGAGAGAGATGGACTCCCTCGAATAACAGTATATGTTGTTCAATAAGTAGCATGTTGAAGTAGAGTGACATGGAGGGCCGGTCGAAGCCCGTACGGGAACTGCAACACGCACCAATCGCGAGTTCGCTTCCACAGTCCGTCATCTCTTATTGTGCCAGGCCGATTGAATTACATGCGGAATACGGATGAAGGAGATCCGGTTAGAGCACTTCATTGTCACTGTAACAACACTATTTTACAATCTGGTGTTTTCTGGTTTTCGTAACAAACGTATCAAGAATTTCACATCATCATACACAACTCGTTCAGCGCCCATAATATCCGGTCTGTTGGCCATACCCTCCATACCCGGTCTGCTGTTGCTGTTGAGACGGCGGTGGTGGAGGGTACGCACCGGGATACCCCGGCTGCTGGCTTGGGGGAGGAGGATACGCGGGTGCAGGGCCAGGACGGGCGGGTTGGCCCCATTGCCCTAGAGGTGCTGGGGGTGGGGGGAACGACGGATATGCTGGTTGCTGAGGCTGCTGAGGCCGGGGAGGAGGGTAGCCCGGGTATGGCGAGCTCGTCGCTGGGGGAGGCGGCATAGAGGGGTATTGAGGCTGGCTTGGTGGGGCTGGGTAGGACGGCTGACGCGGGGGCGGAGGAGGCAAAGAAGGTTGGGGGGGCGGCTGTGGTACTGCCTGGGACGGAGGACGTGGGCGCGCGGGTTCACTCGAGAATGCACCACCAGCGTTAAACAGACCAGCATAAGGGTCTGCGGCCGGTGTCCGGGCAGGCTGTTGGGAAGGTGGGGTCGGAAAAGATGGATAGGGCGACGATGCCGGAGGTGTCGCCGCTGCATGGACGGGAGACATGGGAGCAGGAGGTTGTGATGCTGGCCAACGGGGCTGCTGCTGCTGAGGAGGAGGTGGAGGACGGGGTGGGATACCGGCATCCTGTAGCGACATGCTGCCGAACGTCTTCTCAAGAGAACTGGCCGAAGGCGGGGGAGGGGGAGCCGGCAGTCCAGAGGAGGTAGGTGACTGCAGACGACGCTGCGTCTCCGCCGAGGAAATAAGACGCTCACGTTCTGCAGCGCGACTCTTAGAGAAGGAGAGAGTGTCACGACGCAACGAAGTGACCATGTTTGTGAGGTCACGATAGAACTGCAACCCTTTCCTATTGAGCAATCAGCACTAAAAACAAACTCTGTGCCGAGACACTCACCCAAGACCATCGCGAACCTCAGCATACGCCACACGTACCCTGCTATACCTCTCGCCTGAGTCCTTCGCCTTTCGATCTTCCTGCTCCCATTTCCTCGCCCATTCTCGTACCGCCTTTCCCATCGTTAAGTTCCTCCACAGCTCGGCAATCTCGCTCATCAGCTGTTCCTGTAGAGCTAAGGTGGCGGCGATCCTAGCCTGGTACGGGTGGAACTTCTCCAGCTCTGCAGTGAACAGCTGCGACTCCATACCAGGCTGAGAGCGTCGGCTGACCAAAAGCAGATGAGAGACATCGTCATCTTGTATCTTCTGCTTGAGATCTTTGAGCACCTCGGTGCGTTCTCGGCGAATCTTGTTGAGGCGACCGACTCGCTCGTCAATCTCTTTCACTTTGGCTTTGACATCCGCCCGGGCCTGATCGTCATCGTCACTGCTCAGATCAGTATCGACGAGGTTCATGCTGTTACTGCTGGGCTGGACATCAGGCAAGGGTTGACCAGCCAGCAGGATGGTGACATCGCCCTCTACAGACGTCCAGAGGGAATAAATGCGGGTATCAGATTCGCTGGCTGATGTGAACGCATCACGATTCTCGCGGAGACGCTGGCGCAGCTCTCTTGTCAAAGGAGCTGACGGCTCCTGTGTCCAGAGATCTTGGTATTTGACCTGAGATACATTCAGGGACCTAGCATTGGGTGTCGTAGCAGTGAAGCTCACCCTGTTGGTTTCACAGTCTCTGGTCTCAATCTCTAGCTCTCGTTCAGCAGCACCCAAATCTTGGCCAACAGAAGTTTTGAGCTTGTCCAAGTCGGCTAGCATGCTGCGCACGGTCCCCCTCTCCTCCTCGCTCCTGATCTCTGCCTCATACCGGTATCTCTCCTCCTCTGTTTTGTCCGGTCCATTCGCCGCTGCGATGCCACCGTCGCCCCAATCGCGCCACTTGCCGATCTGAGGTCCGATTACGCCCAAATCTCGCAGACCTAGCTCGGCTTCATCCTCTGCTTCCTGTACACGAGCATTCTCGGAACGGACCACCTTGGCCTTCTCCTCGCTATAGATACTGGCGCTTTCGTGCACTGCCATAGGAATGAGTCGTGCAAAGAAGTCGTTGCCGATGACTGCCTGCACGTCTTGTGATGCGTAGATTTCCTGTATCGTGATAGGAGTGGCGACCGCGAGCTTGTCAAGCTGCGGCAGGGTCGCCTCCGTGGGAACTGCAGCATTATAGATCAAGTCGTTGTCCTTAGTTGCTTGCTCTCGGGCGGCAGTCACAGTGGCAAGGTGTGTCTTGGTGATATCGATGATACAAGACGATGCGTCTGCTGGTAGTGTTGGAGAGTACGACGACAGCGCATATGGGGTGAATGAGTTGCACATCCGGTTGGCTTCCTTCGCAAGACTCTCTGCAAGTTGGAGCCGGGCAAGTGCCTCCCCATGCTTCGAGTCCTTTGCTTCGACTTGAGAGCGATACAAGTGGGCAACCGAAGTGAAATATTTTGCCTTGATTTGGACAAGCGACACCCAGTTCCGGTCGAATATGCCTCTGCCCATGAAGTCGCGGGCTTCTTCCGACAAACTAGTGTACAGGGCCCCCGTCTGCGCTGCGATCTTGCCTACCAGTGCGTCGCTCTTCTTCGTATCGCGGCTCTGCTCGAAGAAAACCTCGGTTGCCTGAGCCATCATAATGCCCGTCAAGAACTTGACAACCTCTTTAGAGAGGTCAGTAGATGGCGCATGCAGGAAGTTCTCGTTGATGTAAGTGAGCAGGCCAGCGGCAGATCGAAAGAAGTAAAATGCGCGCTTAATCCCCTCAGGAGAACCTCGGTGCTGTTGTTGAGCAAGTGCGGAGTGAACTGCGGCGATTTGGAAGATAACGCAGGCTTTCTCAAATGCCAACGACGTCTGTGTCGTTAACTTGGATGTAAACGCATCATACCTATCCGAGTCTCAGCAGTGAAAGATTGGTAGCAACGTCTATGCCCACCAAGGGAAGGAGACCTTGATTTCGGCGAAACGCAGCTCCAAGAGCTCCAGTTGCCCAAAGTACTTGTACAGTAAGTCTCTTGCTGCACAAGAGCATCAGCGCGGACACGGCAATAACGCTGCACCACATACCCGTCTGATCACTCCCCGCTCCCCTCACTGCGTCCTGCCGACAACGTGACAATTGCCCAATCTCGGTGACATAGCTGTCCGGGTTGTCGCCATACGAGTGCGAGATCGCCTGCCGCAGCGGTGTTGTCCAATCCACCTCGTCTGTTTTCTTGAGTGGGATAGCAATAGTTGGATTCTGCATCTTGGAATCCGAGTCTGTAGAGACGTTAGGAGTCAAGGTACAATAGGCTACGCAGCGCAGTTGAACGCCTCGTCACCGCCCTCACAGGCCGGGGTCAGAAGGCATCGCCACGACCCAGTCGACCCTACCAGAGATGCCGCCTGGGTGTTGGTGCTTGTCGTCATTCTGTCTTGAACGATGTCTGGAAAATACCAAACGTTGGATGTTAATGAGGAGGCGCAACCATTGGAATTCAAGTGTATGCAATGACCGATCTTCATTAGCATACATTAATATCGGATACCAGCTTTCCTCGGTCAGCCCGATGCAGCAGTCGAGCCTGCACCAGCAGCGACGTCCTCGCGTCGAGGTCAGTTTCTTTTAGGTTCAATGATGAAATATGCATATAACACTGATGGGTAGGATATACCACCGACCGTCCTGTATCAACAAGCTTTTGGCAGGTTGAACACTATCAAAAATGGTTCGATGTGGACACAAACACAGTGAGTCGTATGCTCTTTCGAAGTTACCTCCTGTCTGAATACATACATGCAGGTGCTAATGCGGTGTCTGATGTCCATGTACCCCATAGATTCTCACCTAACAGGACCAGAAGGACCGGATCTGTATGGTCCATTTTGGACGTTGACGACGCTCATCCTCGCCCTTTTCGTCTCCTCATCACTTGCGTCGTCAATCGCGTCATATCTCTCATCAGAGCCGACGGACTACAATTGGACACTGCTAAGCGTCGCTGTGGGACTCATATATATATACGGCCTCGCAGTTCCGACAGGGATATGGGCCGTGCTCCAATGGAGTGGTGTACAGGAGTGTAGTGTTGTTGAATGCCTGAGCATATGGGGGTACGGCATGACAGGTTGGTCTCTCTACCTTCGTATTCGATCCTGAGATATTGACTCCACCGAAGTGTGGATACCTACTGCCCTTCTTTGCATTATACCCGTTCCTCTGCTGCGTTGGGGACTCACCTTACTTGCTGCTCTAATATCGCTAGCGTTCATCATCAGGAACATCTACCCTATCCTCGCCACGGTAAGCAAAATTACATCCAGACTAGCCTTATGACTTTGCTCATGCGGTTTTCAGGCTGAATCTAAGTCTGTGCGACTGTTTGTGATTGTATTTATTGTGCTGCACCTCGGTGTCGCACTGTCCTTGAAGATCGTTTTTTTCTCGTACTATGTCGCAAAGCCCATCGGATGATCGGGACCGATTCGCAGATTATTGTCTCTTTAATTGCTAGCTTCCCGAAGTAATTGGGATATTGCATCAAAAAATTGAGAGTTGTCGGTCGGTTATCCGACACAGTGGGATGTGGTTCACAAGCTCCGAACACAACAGGGGTTCCGAAGCCATCAGAAACTTGCGGGTCTACAACGGCGCACCATTTCTGAATAGCCATGGATTTCATGATTTTCGAGTCAAATTTACGCGCTTATTGCTCTGCTCGCCTATGCCTTTGTTTCTCTTCCCCAACCATGGCGCCAAGACGAGGATATGACCCTCGCTCAGCAAGTGAGCTCATCGCCGACCTCTTGGGGACGGATGCCCCAAGTATGGTGGATGACGAACTTGGCCGATTGGTCGACAACATAGGTCTTTCTTCATCTCGACATTGCGCTACTGCTACGCACACTCGTATTGCCCTATCTGGCGACGGCTTTCCATCCATGAACATCTGGGACCTTCCCCTGGAACCTAAACCTGCATTGCTCTATCAATTCGCCGCGCTCTGTTGGAGAAGAGGCTATCGGCGAGGGACAAAGTTCTGGCTGGACCGGTTCTGGGAATCCATCCGGGTCTGGTTAACAGGAAGTCATCGTCCGAGGCCAGGAAGCCAACTACCATTCGCCCTTCCTTATTGGTGGCAACCCCCTCTGGAGCAAGTGGAGCCGGTTGTCCTCCCGGATTTGTGGGAGAACGAATTCCAAAGACCAACGCGATATTTCGAGTCGTATTACACAGACGCTTTTCACAACCAAATTCATCACGACGCCAACATCACAGCACTTCCCGGGGATCTCACGTTGGGCGGCAATTGCTTAATCATGCCTGGTGCGCGCATCATTGTTCGGCCCTCCCGGCGGAATCCGAAGGCAAGGTCGCTTCTAGCCTTGGGCAAATACGTGGTAGTAGGCTCCGATACGGTCATTGAGCCAACGCGTTTCAGGTACCATGGAGCCGACATCTATCTGCCGGGGACTATAGGCGATTACGCCATCATTGGGATGGGCGCCAGAGTAAGACCTTATTATATTGGCAACTTCGTTTCAATCGGAAGGGACTGTGTCATCGAGGATAGGGTTGTTATCCAGGATGGTGCATACATTGCCAACGAGGTTGTGGTACCCGCAGGAACTGTTGTACCAAAGGACTGTTGATGGACTGGGCAGGATCAATGCTTTGCCACCAAGTTCCAGCAGCAGTACTTTCCTGCACGAGACAAGATTCGATCGATGTACGCGGAGTTCTTTTGTTCATAAGGTGATGGAGGCGGGGAATGATCACGGAGCAGAACGCCTGGGCCAGCACCAAACCACTTGGCCCTCGAAGGATGTGGGAGCGACATCCTCGGACATTACAGATGATCATGGTACGGGCGTGACCGACCCTCTCTCATAATGTTCAAGACATGCCCTCGACCGCGCCGTCTTTACACTGCTTTATCACCCACCTTTCTGAGCACGAAGTCATGTACATACAGAATCGCAGCAGCGTTTCAATAACCAGCTTTTCGCTTTGCAACGCAAGGGTCTCACCGCATGCATGCCTGGCCTTTTTTGTATTGTCGTCGCCAACGGCCGAACACACCACTTGGATTCTCCTTGTCTGCCGTCATCGATGTTGATCAGCGACACGTTTTTCATCACGACACTGCTAAGTTAGGCTATTTAACTTTCGGATCCCGCGTGTCCGCCCCGATTGTCTTGGAAACCATAGTTATCACCAGGTGGAGAATAGATGGTGCATTGCAAGTTTTAATACTGCTGACCGCTGGCAGTTCTCTTCTGGAAGTACAAACGAGACCAGTTCCATCATTCGTCGATGTGAAATTCTCGGCGGTCAGGGAAAGAGGGGGCCCCCATCCCCTTGGCTGCTTCCGCGTTCCGACCAATTTCTCCCGTTTTGGGGTGCTTTTCTTTTCGTTTCTGTGCAGCATCACCAAGAAGGTTGAGCTCTTCGCTGATGGTCACCCAGGCAGACTCTGGAAACTCCATGTGCTTCGCAGGTCCCCGGCACCCGTGCGGGATGCTGATCGTATCTTCGCGGTCTTTAATCTCAGGTGACACTTTTGTGTAGGAGTTTGCACCCCTCACCATTGTCCGGAATAATATAGTCCAGCTGTCATAGTGCGTGATGCCCTGAGCCATTAAGACATTGAATCGGTGCTAGGTGGGGCGGAAGATTCCCCATCCCCGCCCAGCGGTTCAGATTGGAATATTCAATCCTTCAACCCTGTACATAGAGAAGAAACTGTTTTCTCATAACTCCCTTACCAATTTTCTCGCCGTAGAAAGTGGCTGAACAGCACATCTATCAATAGAGAAACGCTTCTGCCATGAGGAAACCATGATGTCAGAGCTTGTTGGTGGATTACCTGTTGCTCAAGCAGGTTAATGTGCCAGAAGCTAACTGATCGGGCCAGCATATAGCAAAACAGACGCATGTGGCTTCCTTGCACATGTGTCCGTTTTGCTGCATGCTTGAAGGATTTCCTGACAACCCAAGACTTCACAGTATCACACCATTTAATGATGGTGGATATCATGAAAACCAATCCCATCCTAGTCACTATTTTAGCTTCATCACCTAGCAAATTATCTTCTATATAGCATCAAGGATTAGTGGTTTCTGACGTGATGTGCAATTGGTTGAACGAACAAGGTGGTTCTCCTTGGGCTTGGAAGGGCGGAAAAGGCCGAAAGACCCCTCGTTGCAGCCACTGTGAAAATAATGAAGGAGATGTTTCAAAAAAGGGCTCTTTGATGCCGGAGGCCCGGACATTAAGTCAGCAAAATAATATTGCACACGCGACATGCGGTACACCCAGTCCCTGACAGAAAATTCATGAGCCCCTCCCCACCACCTGCCGGAATTCCCATACCCCTTTTCCCTGCCGCGAGGCAAGCGTGGTCTACCCGGGTCTGCTTGCATTTGAGAAAAGACTTGCTGCTTCAGATACCGTAATGTGAGAGTCTAACCCGACCCTCACAAGCCCGCTTATATACATTTCACCCCGAGCCACGTCCTTGGTCCTCAAAATGCTTGCGCCCTCCTCCTCCTTTGTGATACCTAGCTTCTTCCCTGACTAGAAGCTCACCGCCGGCGAATCTGATTGAAGGGATGCTGATCACAGGTCGCTTCACACCCCCTCCATATCGATATCTGTGACATCAGTCGCTTGCCTGCCGTCGTCTGTGCCTGACTGGCAAATTCACGAGCCAGTTGCAAACTCCCAAGTCATCCCTGCACTCACGTCGTCCTCCCCTCTTCCGATATCTTTCTCTCTTTGTTACCTCGGGCAGCATAGAGCTCCGGACTGCTTCTCCTCAATCCGCTCTTTCATCGAAGCCACCTCTGGTATCTCCTGGTATTAGCGCCTTCCCTGAAAACCTTGCTGGGGTATCGTTATCTGGCGATCTGTCAACGGACCCCTTTTGCTTCAAAGGCTTCTCTCCACCCCAGATCTGGCAACACGTCTCGCAGCTGTGTAATAACCTGATAGAACACTTCTCTTGCCACACACCGAGTCCTTTCAGCCATAATGAATACTCAAGAGACATGGAAGGTCGCCCTGTTTGGTGACGGCGCCGTCGGAAAAACAGCTATCGCGGTGAAGGTAAAAATATTGATACGCTCAAAGTGACACGCTCATCTTTTGCTGGCAAGTTCACACGTGGAACTTTCCTCGAGGTGCGTGGGATTCCCTCTCGCTCATCATATGCTGCTTAAATAGAACGCAGACTTACGATCCGACAATCGAAGACTCGTACCGTATCCACACTTCATTTCAAGGTCAACCCGCATTCCTGGAGCTTGTGGACACAGCGGGTCAAGGTCAGAATACGCATTAGCATTATCATTCCGATACTGACTCGTACCAGATGACTACGCTACTCTACGCGATCAATGGCTTCAGTGAGGGAAGCGTCGCTGTAAGTTGCCCGCAACGCTGACGGCCTATAGCGAAGGCGATGCGTACGTCCTAGTGTACGCTGTATCCTCAAGAAAATCGTTCATGCGACTATTGAACATGGAAGCAACCCTTAAGCGAGCCCGCCAGAAATCCAGCCATATTTACCCTGTTTCAATGCTCATCGGAAACAAGTACGACCTTACCGATCAAGCAGGGGGGCGTGCAGTAGGTGCACAGGAAGCATACGAGCTCGCCCAGCGGTATGGGTGTTTTTATATGGAGACCTCGGCGAAGTCGGGGTACAACATCACCAAAATGTTCGAGACCATCGTCCTCGCCCTCCGCAATCGCCATGCTGGCCGACCGAGCACTGGACCACCCGGGACGATCTGGGGTGGTTCTCTCCCTGTCTCACCTATCAATAATGTGCCTTCTGCATTCCGATACCCGCCCGCTTCTGCTCCTCCCGCTTCCTACGCCCGTGGTGCCGGCCCGAGCGACCCCTATGGGTCCCGCACCCGCCAGGGATCTACACCTGCCCTGCGTCCAAGTGCCTCCGCATACCCTCTTCCACGCTCACCGTCTCTGCACGGAAGGTCACCGCCCGTCTCCGGCTCATCAAAGCAGCTCAGGGGACGAAGCAGCACCTCCGCATTACGTTCTCCGAACGCAGTGCCTCCGCCACCTGTCCCACTTGTACCCGTTAACCCCCGTTCCCCGGTTATGCCCAGTACCCCAAGTACGGCGCGATCAACGTCACGCTTCAACGACCGACAGCAAGCGAGGACTGAGAAGAGCGCGAAGGTAGAGCAGGAGAAGAAAGGCAGGGGTCTGTTTGGAGGAGGCGGTCGCTCCGGTCGCGGACCAGAAAGTGCAGGTGACGGCGGCGGGGATGGAAAAGGTGGGAAAGGTGGGCACTGCATCATCTGTTGATGGCTGCTTTCCTATTCCGTCCCTAACGCCTACTGTCGAGGATGGTTCAGGGGCTGGACGGCAAGAGGAGCCACAAAATCGACGTCGTGCATTGATCAACGACGTCGGCGGTGTACCCAACCCGAACAGCGATCAGCAACGACTGCGACACGTACATAAATTCCTCATCATACACTGCCTGTATCTCACCCATGCACGCGATACCCCCACCCCCTCACACAGGAGTCGGGTGGAACTGGATTCTACTAGACCGAAGCGTCTTGTACTGAACTGGACTGGGTTATTATCGGACTACCGTTCGAGTTTGGAGAGTATATTGGTACCTCAGACCACGAAAAGCGCTGCGCATCGCGCGCGAGTACATTTGTACAACAATTCCATGGATATGTCTTTCTTTCGATCTTCGATTCTTTGTAATCAACCATTTCCGTCTCATGCACTTTCACTTCGTACACAGCTTGGCTTTTCGAGCCGTGCTGGCGAGGTCTGTATACAGTGGTCTAGGTTCTCGCCTTATATTGCACCTCCACAACTCCAATCCAGTGGAAGGATATCAACTCCGCGGCTGTCCCTATATTTCACACGGTAGAGAGGGCCGGTATTTGACTGTGTTGACTCGATTGTATGCGCATCAGTGTACCGGCGATAGGTCTGCCTCTCACAAGTGCAGGAGCGCAGGACGTCGGCGAGCTACAGTTGTACACAAATCATTCGACTTGGACGTATATGCCCTTACAACCGCTGGATGCCCTCATCGTAAGCCTTCGCCAAAGAGATCAAGATGCTTCTGTTGAGTCGTCCTGAACGAGAAGGAAGGGTGCAGGAGAGCGGTGACGGTCTATTCCTTATTTCTTACTTGTTGGGGAGTGTACAGTGGAGTACGACGTACTTAGTATAACGATACTCAGTGCTTTAGCCCTTCAACCCCTCGAACCCAGCTGAAGCCTCCCTCGCCTCCCCCCTCCCGCAGCTCCTTGCACACAGGTCCCCCACCGCTCATTTCGCCGGGGCCACCCACCCACACTCGCATTTCCTCAGACTCTCGTCCTCCATCCAGTTCCTGATCAGCGGCTTAAGCTGCGTGCCCAGGTCTGTACAGTGGAAGCGTTCTTCTCTTATGATGTGCGGGGTGGAGTGGGTTTGGGAACGGCAGTACCAACGGAGCCTGTCTGGGGATGTTAGGTTGACTTGACGTGCGGCGAGACGGAAAGGGTGGGAGGAAGGGAAAGGAAGGGCGGAGAAGGGACGGGAAAGGAGGAAGTGATGTAAGTAAAAGGAAAGAATGAGACGCACCTGTACTTCCCTCCGGCCTCTTGCGCTCAATCACGATCCCGACTGTGTTCTCAAACCGTACCGGGTTGTGCGGCGTATTCCCCGGGAGAAGGAACATCTCCCCCTCCCTTATGTTCACGTCCCTGAACTCGTCACCGTCCAGGATACGGAGGAGCATATCCCCTCTGTGTTGATAGAACCATTCCTATTCCCCTGTGAGATTCCGGCTTATGGGATAGAGAAAAGGGAAAGGAGAAGTATGAGCACACCTCAGTCTCGTTCACGTGATAGTCGTTCCTCTCATTAGGTCCTCCGACGGCCATGACGATGAAGTCCCCGCCATCATAGAGACAGAAGTTGTTAACAGGAGGCGCGAGCTTGTCGCTGTTCTCTGCGAGCCATTTGGGGAGGTTGAGCGGTGGGGGGATCATGGTCGTCTACAGCAAGGAAGGCATTGGTTGTGGATGTTGGATGACCCATCCGCTATCCGCTGGGTGGCGTGCTGACGTGTGGGGAGATGATGTCCCTTCATCACACCCAGGGTCAAGGTGTGACTGTAACTACTACCGCGCTCTTCTTTTCTTCATGGATATATCTCTCACCTGGCTCAGTTCTGTTGACTTGTTAGCACTGTTATGACGCTTAGGCTCTCCCCCAGACAATTGGTAGAATGCTCTGCCGTGCATCCACGGTGGCAGAACATTAGGGACATGATCTGCAATTTGCACCTGCCTTCGTCTCAGGACGGCCGAGAAGCTGAGCTCCCCCCAATCCGTTCAAGGATATCGGTTGTAAAGTGTACGCCGGCTCACAAGGCCAAGCCATACCTCGCGAGGAACCCATCAGCCATCCCATCAGCATCAGCCAGGTTATTACCTCATTCCCTCCTTATCCGACATTATGCCTACCGAAGCTCAGCGACGAGTCCCTCCGTACTCTCGCCATAGTGGAGGTCTTCAATAGCGGGGAGAACTTTACGGCTAGAGCTTCACTAAATGGCCAGGAAGTCTTTGTCAAAGGGGTAGGTTCCTTTCTACATCTATCAGCTTGATTGCCGATCTACTCCCAGTTTTCGTTGCCGGAAAATGAGGAGAACTACGAGAACGAGAAAGCGGCATATACGGCTTTTCTTAGCGCGTATACAACCTGGCCTAAGTACATTCCCCGATACTACGGCTCGTGTGACGTTGTCGCTGTCGCATCCCCGGATCGCAGTATCCAAGAATATGCCATAATGGTGTTGGAGTTCATCGATGGCGCCGATCTGACGACAGAATCCATCACCGAAACGCTCGCAGTCCAGACTCTAGGCGCTTTGCATGTCGCACACACTGCCCTAGTCCTTCCTCTGGATATTGAGCTTCGGCACTTCATCGTTCGCACCGACAATGATCAGTTGATGAAGAAGGGGACGGTGGACAGCACGCGTGCTGGAACGAGCGAATTCAAGTATGACGAACTTCCTGATGTGGACAAGGTGGTGCTAGTTGACTTTGATCGTTCTTCCACGCACGATGGACCTTGAGGACGAGATGAAGGAGATGTGGGAGATACTCGTTCAAGCCATGAACAAACAGTAGGCTGAGGGTATTGCCCTAAATGTATGCTTCGCAGGGCTGAGAGAGTTGACTTTATCGCGTGCATCACCCATCGATATCAATATCTAGCCAACAGAAGAGGCTTATCAACCTAGACTTATATAGCGAGTATAATAGGGGAGGGCGTGAAAGGAGACAGATCTGCAGCAACGGATTAATCATTCAGGGCATACGGCATAGATGTCGGAATGGAATGGCGTACCCAGTCGTCAATCAAGGTGTTGACCATGAAAAAAAAAGAGGAACTGGTCCGTAAGTTGCGAGGTTTAGGGATGAGGGCCTAGTACAGCGCTTGACCGTTCGGTGGGCTTCTCATCGGTTGGAAGGAAGCCAAAACGGGTTCACCTTGCACGGGGTCGTCCACGTCGGAGCATGTAGTAGTGCAACTGGACCAGAGCCAGTCGATCATGTTGTCGACTAATATCAGTCATCGTGCTGAAGAACTTCCAGGGAGGCTTGATCTCTCCGGGTAGTCCCAGTTCGATTGATGTGGCAGCGTCGGGTGGGCATCCAAGTAGATCGAGTATGTGGGGAGCCACGGATCCCTTCGACAGTGCGTCCTCCCAGTGACGCAGAAACTCAGCATGGCAGATATCCATTGTCATAGATGTCGATGTCATGTTGGGAAAAAGAGGCATTTGACATGGTGGCACAGGGCTGATTGTCGGGGGCATGGTGAACATGCTTTGGCACACGAGTGCGTCCATCACTCCGTATAGAACTTCTTTCTTCAAAACCTTGAGCACATCCCGTTCATATGTACAAGCAGGTCAGATAGCGGGATACCCCTAGTTGGTATCAGGGATAAGGGAGTCCAGAAGGCTAGACGAAGGACGAGCAGACAAAGGTGGAATAGGAGGTAAGTTTGTCGGCCATCCGGGTAGCAGACCGAGCTGTTGATGCGGTCCCGGACGTTCAAAGTACTTGAGTTGCGGGTGGTGGTGGGTGGTGACGGGTTTGAGAGGGCGCTGGTTGCGTAATATGGTGGACGTTCATGGACAGTCAGGGTTAGCGGGGGATCCATCTGCTTCTGTCCACGGCCTGATCGGCCACAGCGTCATCTTCATCATCGCCAGCATTCATCCTCTTCTGTCCCTCTCTCCCTTCTCACGGCGATACATACCCCTCTTCTCTTTCTTGCATGCTCCATTCCCTCGTCACTCCATGTCCTCATCCCCAACATCACCAACAACAGGCAGCATCACCCTCCTCCCTCAACCCTCATCATCATCACCAACAGTCTCCCTCACATCTCTCTCCAAGCTCTACTCCTATGCCCGCTCCTCACCTTCTCCGAGTGACACCCTACACCCCCATGTAAAAGAGGCAGTAGAAGTGATTGAAGCTGCTTTAGAGGAACATGGGTACGTCCTCTTCTTCTTGCCCTTTAAGAACGTGCTAAGAGCGCAGAGAGGAGAATGTGGCTCTAAGCTTTAATGGAGGGAAAGACTGTACGTCCCCCCCAACCTCCTTCTCTACATACTGACCGCTCCCAAGGCACCGTCCTCCTCCACCTCCTCGCCGCTGTCCTGTTACACCGACATCCTCCGCAGTCCAGTAGCACCCCTCCCTGGCCTGCCATTCCCTCGATCTACGTCTCCCAGCCCTCCCCCTTCCCGCTCATGGAGTCCTTCGTCCACAGCTCCACATCCTACTACTCCCTCTCCCTCCTCCTCACACGGCACAAATCCATGAAGTCTGCTCTCTCGGCCTACCTCTCCCTCCGCCCATGGACAAAAGCCATCATGGTCGGTACGCGGAGGCAGGATCCTCATGGGCGTGAACTACGGTTTAGGCAGATGACAGACCCCGGCTGGCCGGCATTCGAGCGCATACATCCGGTGATCAATTGGGGATATGCCGAGGTCTGGTGGTTCCTACGAGAGTGGGAAGTCCCCTATTGTCAATTGTACGACTTGGGATATACCTCGCTCGGCTCGACGTATAACACGTTCCCGAATCCGGCCCTCGCGGCCAAGGGGGGATATAGGCCGGCGTATGAGTTGGAGGATGAGAGTCTGGAGAGGGCGGGGAGGGAAGAGGGCAGGTCGCCTGTTCTTGTACAGCGGCAGTTACAGGATGCACAGGCTGAGCAGGGGAAGTGGGAAGTGGACGGGGTGGAAGGGCATGGGGGGATGAACGGGAGTGTTCTGCACCCCCCAGAGGCTGAGGAGTCAGGGGAGGTAGTTGCTGGGGAGAAGGGGGAGGTGCTGGTCAATGCGGAGATGGAGGAGCAGGAGGACGAAGACGATACGGGCTCGTTGTGAACGTCTTCCAGGAGGGGCATGTATGCACGGGCGGACTCTTGTAAGGGACGCGAGTCCTAAGTTAAATGGAGCACATAAAGAGAAAATAGAATTTGTCTGGGGACCAACTTGGGTGAAGGGGACGTGTATGCGCTGAGTTGAGGCTGGCTCTTGAGATATTGCGCATATAGCTCGCTGTTCTGGTGGGTGCACATCAGATGTTTTCCTACTGCTAGTAAGCGACTCGAGTACATCCCACGTCACTTCCGACAGTCCTCTGTCACTTAATCAGTCCTTTATTCCATCCATCCCCTAATCTCTGGATGCTCAGTACACCTCCGTATTCTGGATCGCCTGCACCGTCAAGTTGTCCCCAAAGTTCGTGATCGTCACCGTGTGTTCCTTCTCAGGATCCAGTTCCTGAGCAAAGAAGAGCACCGTCGTCGGCCCCGCGACGGAGTTGTACGACGTGCGCATAGGCTGCGGGATATTGTCCAGCGTGACGAGGTACTGTCCTCCTGTAGGGCCGACGGCGCCGAAGACGACCGTGTGAACGCCCTTGAAGGAGTAGGCCAGGGTGGAGTGCAGGGAGGTGGTGGTGTATTGCGGCAGGGTCATGTAGAAGAAGTCCTGTGGTTTGTTAGCTCTTGCCTGTGGAGTGGAAGGGGGAAGACAGACCTGGAACGTAGGAGCTTCGGTCCATTCCCCAATCGTTCGGATCTGAGAGGTGTTCCAGTACGAGAAAACCTGATTCCTGTTGTCCTTGAGCTTGATATTCCGATGGGAGAGAGAAAACTCACGTGTACTTCGTTTCCTGCGTCTCGATGAAGGCAGGCCCCACGAAAGCAGCTTCCTGCCCCTCTTCGGGGCAGAATAGCGTTAGTTCCACATGCTGTTGGCCAAGGGGGAGGTTGTTGAACGGCGTATACAAGTCCGGCACATCCTGCAACTTCCCATTGATAGAGATGTTAAACCCGCAGTCGGGGCCGTTTCCGCCCAGAGCAGTCAGGTATCCTCCGAGCTCGAATTGGTCGCCGTAGAAGTCGAACGAGACGGAGGCCTTTGGTGCGGAAGTGGCATACTGCGGCTGGATAGGGAGCCACGGGATGGAAACCCACCCTTTGCTGAGGTCGGAGCCTACTGGGGGAGTGTAGGTTAGCAGAGGTGAGTTGGCGAACAGGCTGGTTTCGTATTAGATTGACATTGTGACAGTTTCGGGCAGAGAGGAAATCGCTCAGGCTTGCTTGTTCCTGAGGTTTTAGACATGTTGAACAAGTACATACTTATAGGTGACGCCGTGATGTCGACTTCTACGTCTTTTCCGTGAGAAACGGTAATCATTGACCAGAAATCCTAAAAATAGTGTCTACCGTCGTTGTCGGTGCAGAGAGAGCGGATCAGATACTTGAGCAGACAGGACTTGTACCTTCCTCCGGAACCGAGCCGTAAGTCCGGGTTTGTATAAAACACAAACACCGCCTCCAGAGCCCCTTTCCATCCACTCCAGTCTGGTTCGCAATGTCGCCAATGTGGTACGTGCCGCCCTCCGGCCAAGTCGGAGTTCATACGGCACGACTGGCTTCTGATGCTCGGACTGGGTCATTCTCAGTTCTGCTCTTCCCGCACCATGCCGAAGGAAGGGGCACTTGTCGTCGTCTCACGCGCAGCGACATTCTTCCATCATAGCCATCGTCTCCGTGGGCGGCAGACTTCTTGAGGTGATCAACCCGAATGATGAAGTTTACCCCAGACTCTGTCACCATGGGGTTTGGTGGTCTTCATCTACGGGTTTCTCAGCAGCTTTCTCGCACTCTGCAGGCAAAGGGCAACGCCTTATCCCCGACAAGTAATACTGGAACAACTTCAGCTTTTCAGACCTTCGTGATCCTCTCTTCTGCCCCGACCTCCATCCGAGACCTACACACCTATCCCGTCCTCTTCCTCCTTGATCATCATCCCTCTTCCCGCAAGCCCAGCCCCAACATAGCCTTGCATTCCCGATTACATCGGTTCCGATAATGGATTGTCCTGGATTTCATTGCCATTCTTTTGAATCCCCAGTCCCTGTGGGATCGTGGTTGTTAACCCTGTCAATGAGTCGGTTTGTAAACCTACCTCCAGAGTGATTCTTGCGCGCATGACCCTCACTCTTACCTGTCTATGGACCTGCTGATCTCCCCTGCTTTACGTGATGCATGCGCCCAGATTTGGGGCAATGCCAAGCCTCCTCCAAATGTGGACGTATTCTTTCAGACCTCTCCACTCCGTCCATCGCGGCATTCCCATCGCCCAGATCTATTCTGTACCTGCTGTATTCCAGTTCCGAATGTACGTCAACCCCCTTGCGTCACTCCGGACTGTCACTCGGCTGTTCTTGACTGTCTACTGGGTCATACGCGTGTATGAGTCAGAGAGGCACATGTTGTTTCTCCGACGTATGCGCATAAAAGCCGGGAAGGAGCAGCGCTTTCCGTGTTTGCCGGACTCGGATACTGCCGCGAAGACGATAAATACACCTGCTTCAACGTTCCGAAACATCGAGTTTTCCACTACGCAAGTGAATCATTCGCCTGTACTTCCTATTGATTTCTCCAGCTCCATATCCGACTATGTTTCCCGGCGCGTTACTTGCTCTTCTTGCCGGCCTTGCGGCTGCCAATCCCATCCCTCGTACCGCATGCACGTACACAGCGATCGAGCCTATTTTCTATGGATCGTCTGAGGTTGTCGAAGTTGGTCTTCGTCTGTTCGACGCTGGCGATGACTCATCCGTGTGCACGCCGCTGAGCGACCTGATCACTGGGCCGGTGTATCTCTACCGTCCGGGTGTAGGTTTCGGCTCTTTCGCTAGTTTACCACTTCACTGACGTATTTGCAGGACCCCTCATTCGAACCACTCAAAGTTGGTTACTGGAACGGCCTGAATTCCTCCGATCCTGCCAACACGATCTTCGCACCTGATGTGAACCCGAAAGGTTATGGCTACCAAGTCAAGATCGTACCCGATTCCCACTCACCAACACACGAAGTCGTTACAAGTGGCACCTTCCCTATCGTCTCCCAGGACTGGTTCGACCAGAGCTACGATTCGGTTTGGATTCTCACACCAGACCCAGTGGACGATAACACGAAGTGGGATGCGAAGGGTCAACAACTGCTGGTTTGGCAATACACCAAGTTCGACACCTTTGATGTCCTCCTCTACAAGTCGACCGACGTGACGTGGGGACCTCTTACACTTGCCCATGTTACGAATGCCGAGCCACTCCAGGGCCAGTCTGAGTACACGGTATCCGAGTTTTACTTCGAGTACCCGGGCAAGCTGCCTGAAGGGTCGGACTTCATTGTCGTCCTCCAGACGTCCGCGCAGAACAAATCGGAGGTGATCGCCCTCACAGGTTTGATCCAAATTGTGGACTACCCAGTCACCACGAACACATAGTAAGTCGTTTAAGTGGTATCTGATTGATGTAGTGCTCTAATCTTCTGTTCCAGCGCATATACGTACACACCCGTCAGGACAATCACGGGCGAGGCCACTCCTGGTTAAAGGACTTCCCAATGCGATGTCTTTCCACATGGGGAAAGTATTTGCGGACTTCTTCGTTTTGGATCATACGGCCTAGACATACTTTTATGATGTATCCAACCCCAAAATTGAACTAGGTGTACTCATTGTAGTCATTCCAGCAACATTTGACACCAGGCGGGCAAGAGCTGTGCTACCCTTGCTCAGAGAAATGTCATCTCTAATGAGAAAGACAGATAGAAAAAAGAGAGCCAGGAAGGTCGATGAATCACACGCGCAGTTACTGCACCTTGTAAAACGTGGAACAGCACAAAGTTACAAAGCAGAGGGAGTGACCAGCATACGCTCCACGCCCGTTTCGATGTCAAGTTTATCATAAACCGTCTGGTTTCTGCGACTCTCTGAAAGATTTTAAGGGATCTGGAAACGGTGTCATGACTACGCTATGACAACACTGTTGTCATGACACCATGACATTCAGTTGATACGGATAAAGTGTGTAGGAGTACATGTTCGGCATGTCTCAAAGGAGAATTATGATACATACAACAACATAGTTTTAGTACAAAAGAGGTGCCTCACACCGTGGAGTCTGCTTCCTTGTTAAAGCAGGTCTGTGTACTGGATCGCCTGGACCGTCAAGTTCTTTCCAAAGTTCGTAATCGTAACCGTATGTTCCTTCTCCTCCAACTCTTGTGCAAACCATAGCACCGTCGTCGGTCCAGCAACCGGATTATATGCTGTCCGCAGCGGCTGAGGTATGGCGTCGAGTGTGACGAGATACGGTCCTGAGGTAGGACCGACGGCGCCGAATATCTGCGTGTGGACGCCTTTGAATGAGTAGACGAGAGTAGAGAGCAGTGACGTAGTCGTATACTGCGGGAAGGTCAAGTAGAAATATTCCTACTTTTTGTCAAAGCGAACTCGAATGATTTTGGAGAAGACTGACTTGAAAAGTGGGCGTGACGGTCCATTCGCCCAGCGTGCTGATCTGGGAGATGTTCAGGTATGGATTGGACTGGTTCCTGTGGTTCATGAGCTCAGTATATGTGATGTCAGAGAGAGGACCTGCTTCAAGATTTTCCCCTGAGTTTCAACGAAGGCTGGTCCGGTGAAGGCGACCTCCTGCCCCTCTTGCGGGCAAAAGAATGTGACTTCCACATGATGTTCCCCGAGCGGAAGGTCATTGTACGGGTGGTAGTAAGACGTCTCATTTTGTAGCACCCCGTTGATTGAAACGTTGAAGTCGCATGGAGGAGCGTCCCCGGCGGCGAAGGCAGTCAGCATCCCTGATAGTTCGAACTGATCGCCGTAGAAGTCGAAGGAAACGGAAGCCTTAGGCAGGGAAGTAACATATTGTGGCTCGACATCTACGAAGGGTATGTTCATCCAGCCTGTGCTGAGGTTCTGCCCGACAGGAGGACTGTATGTTAGCAGAGGGGAATTCGCAAACAGGTTGGTCACGTATTGGGACATGGTGAAAGAGTCAAATGAAGAGAGGGGAATATGCAGCTTGGCTGTCGCTAAGATTGGCCCAAGGGCATATATCGATGAGCTGATACCAGCATGCTGTCCGTGAGGAACGGTAGTCGCTGACTAGAAATACCAGTTTCAGTGTACATTACGAGATCATGACGGTTGGTGCAAAGAGGGCAGGCGAGTACCGGAACTTGGACGGCGGACTTTCTTTCGGAACCGAAGGGAAGGTGCCTTATTTGCCAGGGGCAGTCCCGTCTTGGCAAGGGGCACAGTTCCTCTTCCACCACTTTTCGAATTCTTCCTTAGCTTGGCAATTTACAATGTCCCTTTGTCTCCCACAGCCAACAAATCAAATGGGTCCACAACTCCGGTCAGCTCGGATCGTGATCTGTCTATTATAATCGCATCTTATGTCCAAAGTTCGGTCCGACTGACCCTCAATTCTGGTGTTCTCCGGCGCCGCGTTCACGAAGAGAATGCGGCATTCATTCCTCAACTCCCTCATCATCGATGGAATCAGTCTTGCTGAGCACTTGCCGACCAGTGCACGCACAGCGACATCGTTCCGTCATGGTATTCATCTACCAAAATCGTCTTCGTGGGTGACAGGCTGTTTTCCGCGGTGATCGGCTCGAGTGAGTGTACACCAGAGACTGTCATCACCGGACCGGTGTACCTTTATCGTCCAGGAGTACGTATTGATTCTCTCACATCTCTGCCGTCTTCATGCACGACAAAGCATCAGCTTACTATAAACCCAGGATAGCGACTTCGTGCCCAAAGGAGTCGGATACTGGAACGGCCTCAACTCCTCCGATCCTCAAAATACCATAACTTGCCCCGATATCCATCCCAAAGGATATGGCTACCGCGTCGTCATCGTCCCAGACCGTGACTCTCCTGCCCGAAAGCCGCAACATAGCCTCACGTTTCCCATCGTGTCTCAATCTTGGCTCACTACGGGCTACGACAAGGTCTATCTCTTTGAACCCACAAGCGTCCATGACGATACCAAGTGGAGCTCTACTGGAAAGCAGCTACTCGCTTGGCAGGACACGAATCACACGTTTGATGAGTTCGATGTGTGGCTGCACAAGAGCGCGGACGTGACTTGGGGTCCGAAACTTCTCACACACGTTGTGAACGCTAGCTGTCCGCTGGCACCAGCAACCGGGAGCTGCTCAGCTATAGAGTACTACTTCGAGTACCACAAGCAGCTACCGAAGGGCGAAGGCTGGCAACTTGTGTTCCAGCAGGGGAGGCAGGAGAAGAGGGTGTTTGCCGTGTCAGGGTTGATCGAGATTGTTGATAGCCCGGTGACGACGAACACTTTGTATGCACTCCCTCCTGTTCAATTTTGGGTAAATCATTGTGCTGACTGTTGTTCTAGTCCGTATTCTTGGACGCCCATTAGGACGATTGCCAGCGAAGCTACTACGAGATGAACGTGTGGTGTGGGCGCCATGGACTTCTACGGTTTACGTTATCAATGGACCTTCTACTACTGTTGAGATTATACTGCACATAAGGTCTCATGAACCTATCATGATCTCCGTATTGTGTACTTCAGGTCTGCAGTTTTCTGAACTCGCACTTAGTTCGGAAGTTACCTGCATCGGAGCCGAGCGGAAGGGTATCACATACCTCATCGGTCCCCGCAATCCGAAATCGAATTGTCGTGTTCTTGAACTCGGGGCCCCTGCCGGAAGGTTTACCGCGAACAAACCCCCGTTTTTTCTTCTTCTTTCTCTTTCAAGTTTACGTGATCAACGTGTACCGCCCGCAGCTAGTACTGGCGGCACGGCGTATGTGGTTCGTCATCCTTTGCCTCTTCTCCGTTTCTCACGGTGTTTCTCATCGCCCCACATTCTGCCCCTGTTGAATCGGAGATCCGAACACTTTCATCTCGGCAGCCTTCCCAGCTGCCTTGTCCGCCGTGTTTGGCAACATCCTTCTGAATGGCAGGAGGGTACATGACATCTACATGTGGAAAGTGAAAAGGTGCAGCGCATTCCGTGCCCGACGGAGTCAGCTGCTCCTTCAGTCACTATAAGTACATATGGTCCAACGATCCGAAACACCAGGGTTTCCAACAAACTAGTGAATCATCCCTAGCTCAATATCCGACATGGTATACGCCGCATTGCTCGCTCTCTTTGCTGGGATTGCAGTTGCCAACCCCATTCCCCGCGCTTCTTGCACACCATGGGGAATCGAACCTGATTTCTATGGATCCTCCGAGGTTGTTTATGTCGGCGATCGTCTGTTCGACGCTGACTATGACTCATCGTCGTGCACGCCGTTGAGCGACCTCGTTACCGGCCCCGTCTATCTCTACCGTCCTGGAGTGAGTTCATTGTATCTTTGCAGTTCTCCTACTTCGCTGACCTGTCTCCAGGACTTCTCCTTCGAACCACTCAAGGTTGGATACTGGAACGGACTGAACTACTCCGATGCTGGCAACACGATTATCGCACCTGACGTGAACCCGAAAGGGTACGGCTACCAGGTGAAGATCGTACCCGACGCCCGTTCGCCTACCCACAAGGTTGTCACCAGCAACACATTCCCGATTGTCTCCCAAGACTGGTTTGACCAGAGCTACGATTCCATTATGCTTCTCACTCCCGATCCGGTCTTCGACATCACCAAGTGGGATGCGACAGGACAGCAGCTGCTCGTGTGGCAGGACAGCCAGTTCGCGTCGTTCGATGTTCTCCTTTACAAGTCGACCGACGTGACATGGGGACCTCTGACTCTTGCCCATGTTACGGATGCCACCTCGACCGGCTACGCGGTGACAGAATTCTACTTCGAATATCCGGGCAAGTTGCCGGAGGGATCCGACTTCATAGTCGTCTTCCAGACTTCCGCGCAGAACAAGGCGGAAGTGCTCGGCCTCACGGGCTTGATCCAGATCGTGGACTATCCGGTCGCCACCAACACTTTGTACGTCCTTTCCATCATATCTGATCTAGGGAGTGTCTAATCTTTTGTTGCAGCCCCTATCCCTACACCCCTGTCAAGACGATCTCGAGTGAGCCGAGTAAAAATTAAAGATCTTGACTATCAAAGAATTTGTACGTGGGCAAAGCGTTTTTGGACTCTTATACGACGGACCATCCAGTTATTGAGATATGCCCAGATTGACTACTACGTAGCATGAGCGTACAATGTTACCGTTTCGATATTATCTACCCTCGATTCTCTCCATCATTGTCTTGGCGCGTCCCGGTCCCAGCGGTTCCAAGATTCCATGACAGACCGTTTCGTAATGTTCGGCACCGAAGACGGAACTTTCGCGTTGATTGTCCTCTTCGTTTGTACTGCTTCGGCCTTTGCCACACGCATCTCTTCGAACATGGACGGAACACTTCTCTGCATTACGAATCACAGGAGCTCGAGGGATGCGTCTTCTAATTCAAACGCCCACCGCACCGGGGCGACGTAATCCGGTTGACGCGGAGGGACGCGGGGATATATATGTTGGATGAGAATACGTCCCAGACATCATCAACTGATCGTGCTCGACATTCATCTACAGCAACTTCACATCATCAAGTTCGGCTTCTCTTCTGCTCTGTTTCAGTCGTACAAACGCCTCTCTGGGATGTCTGAATATATTACTGGTCTCTTCGCTAATTCCCCGCTGCTTACCTACACACCTCCAGTTGGGTTCGATGCCTCCACGGGTTGGGTCAACAAGCCCTTCGTCGACGAGGAGCCACAATACGTAACTTCCGCACCCAAGGCGTCCGTCTCCTTTGACTTCTGTGGCGACCAATTTGAACTGTCAGGTTTCCTAACTCCCGCCATATCTGACAACACGCCTCCCTGCGACTTCAACGTCACCATCAATGGGGTGCTTCAGCATCAGAACGATTTCTACAGCCCCTACAATGACCTGCCGTTGGATCATTATCATGTGGAACTCACGTTCTTCTGTCCCCATCAGGGTCAGCAAGCCTCGTTTGCTGGACCAGCTCTTGTCGAGACCCAAGGGACCGTATTTATGTGAGTTTACATGGTTGTTGTTGGACACATGATTTCTTGCTAATGGAGCCTCATAACAGGAGTCAAGCAAACCCGTATTTGGACACTTCTCAGATCTACACGCTCGGCCCTTGGACCGAGAAACCAGTATATCAGGTGGGAGGTGTGAGCTTTAAGGCCCTGTAATCTAATCTGATCTTTTCCTAAGAATTATTTCGCTATGACCTTCCCTCAATACACAACTACAGACTTGGGCTCAACACTCGCCTATAGGTTTAAAGGCGTGCACACACAGGTGTTTGGCATCGTAGGTCCTAACTGCGGGGAATATGTTGTTACCCTCGATGGCCAGCTGCAGCCGCCTCATAACCTTTACAACCCGGTCGGGGGCGATGTAACCGTCATCTTCTTTGCTCAGGAGCTCGATAATGACAAGACGCATACGGTTACTCTGACCAACCTTGGGAAAAACATGACGATTCAAGCCATCCAGTATACGAAGCTTTTCCCGTACACGGGTGGCAAATGACCACTGCAACGACCGGGCAATGTAGGACTGCTCCCTGATTTTGTTGTTGTATTTTCCTTTACCGAACTGTCCACCTAAAGTCTTCCTTGTACATGTGGTGTTGTACACCTCGTCCAAATCTGTGCCGAGAGTTCGGCTGTCGCAACTGCGCGGCCACCATGAAGGCATTTATGATCACTTCTGGCAATTTAATGAAATATCGACTGAACCATGCCTGATATACAGATGACAACAAGCAAGGCCGAAGTGTTTGTCCGGCCGAATTTGATGTCCGCACTGCTGTCAGCTTACCTAATCTCGTACTGTATAGTATCAGCCACGAGACCACCGACATGTTCCCGTCCACTCGTGTGGGCGCCTGTCTCAGCTCGGAGAAAGGCTCACAGCCTTGAGTGAACCGATTAACTGTCTCCTGTCGACCGCAGCCCTCCAAGTAACCTCGAGCGGATCTGACCGGGTCTTGGTGCTTGGTTTTTCGTCACTATGCTGCGGTTTGAACACACTCGGAAGGGAAAACACGTCGGCAAATGGTTGACGGTGCAAACCGGTCTGTATTTTTATCCATTGCTGCTGCGCCGGTGATTACGATATGGACTAAACTTGCGTGGACGAACCGAATCATCTAATCTCCGGGTCTGAGGGCTATAAATAGGATTGACCTTGACCATGAACTGGCTTCAATAAAAGCCTTCTTCTTGTGCATCCTCTATTCTTCGACGATCCTCACTATGTCGACCAAACTCGTTGCTGTCCTCGGGGCCACAGGCACACAAGGCGGTTCTGTTGTAACCTCTTTGCTTGCTCACGGTGGTTACTCCATTCGTGCTATCACTCGCGACACTACCTCTGCTAAGGCTCAGGTACTCAAATCGAAGGGTGTGGACGTTGTATCCGCTACGCTCTCTGACAAGGCTAGCCTAGTCGAGGTATTCGAGGACGCGTATGCTGTCTTTGGCGTGACGGTCCCGTTCACGCAGGACAGCGAGGAGGTACAGGGACATAACATTGTAGATGCGGCGAAAGAGGCCAACGTGCCGCTCCTGATTTGGTCGTCGTTGCCGAACTCGACCGAGAGATCTGGGGGAAAATACACAACAATCCAGTTTAGGTCTCTCATCTTGTCTTGCTCTCGCAAAGTGTTCACTTGAGAACCAGTCATTTCGATCAGAAAAGCGCAGTCGACAAGTACATTGCCGCCTCCAGTCAACCTACTGTGATCTTGCACACAGGTGGGTTCGCGGAGAATCTGATCAAATACCGCCAGCTACAGCGAGACGCGTCTGTTCCGAACAAGTGGAACATCGTGTACAGTGGTCTGCGTCCGGACGTCCTCGTTCCATGCATTTATATTGGTGCCGATCTGGGGAATATTGTCGTTGCTATGATCGAACATTGGAAAGAAACCTCGTGGAGGGACAAACTCACCAAAGATGCGATTATTGCAGCTCCGTACAGCATCTCGTTGAATCAGATCATCAACACACTCCAGAAAGGTACGTTTGTAGTCATTTCCCTAGGATCTCTCCGGCTCACTTGGATCGTTGCAGTTACTGGCAAGAAGATGGCTCATGTTGAGCGCGAAATAACGCTGGATTTTCAGAAAGCAGAATGCGACTTCGTTAATGACGGGTTCTTTCGGTATCCGCAGCAAACCATTCTTAAAGAACTTGGTGTCAAAACACATTCGTACTAAGACTATGCTCACGATATAGTCTTGCCTTACATCCATGCTGCTGAAAGTGCATAACTGTTCGTATTACGAATACGAGATCGAATGGATATGTTGCTCTATCGATGTCAAGCTGCAGAGATCCTCTTTCTTCCTCTTCTACAATCAAGAATATAGTGACTCGTATTGCGATTTCCCATGGGGTACAATTTGCCTAAAGTACACTCGCGATGTCGACCGATTTCTGAGTGTCAGACGTTAACGGTCACATGGTTTCGGCGGGTAGAGTTCTTCTGGATTGACGTACGGAAAGGACCAGCCGTCGGTTCCAGTTGTTGGGATCGGCATAAATATGTCTCACTTCACCTGCGTTGAGCAATGAGCGACGTCTCGGCCAAAACCTCCTTGCGGATGGAAGGGCGCATTCTCTGGTTCCGGTATGCTAGTTCCGATCGGGACGGATGTTGCGAACTGGTGCTTTGAGCTTCTCCCGCTCATCAAGCGAGAAGAGATCCGGACTGCAGCTCGTGCCAAGTTGTTATTCCTGGAATATCGATGGGCCGGCCCAGTCCAAACGAAGGGTGTTCTTCGCCCTCTTGCAGGTTATAAACAGCCGCTCTATGCTCAAGTACAACGGGCAGTTCAAACACATCTGCACATAGGCGCTCCCTTCGTACGTCGCACAATGTCTGCTCTACAGAACGCGTATTCCTCTCCTATGGCTGGGTCACCGACGTTGACCTTCTCCCCTTCCATTGGAACAGACCCTTCTACGAGCTGGGTGTTCAACGTTCCGTTCGGAAATGAACCCTCATATGCAACATCCCTCGATAAGGCATCCCTCTCGTTCGATTTCTATGGCAGACCCTTCCAGTTGACTGGGCTCCTCGCACCTCCTGTCGACGACCCACCAGCAGCTTGCTGGACGAACACGACCATCAATGGGGTTCTTCAAGATTATCCGTATGGGTACAACTACGTGTTGCCCACGGATAATTATCACGTCGAGGTTGAATTCTTCTGCCCGGAAGAAAGGCAAGAGGCTTGGTTCCATCTGGTTGAATTCGTTCCTCGGTATCCTGCTTGCATGTAAGCAGCAGTGTAAATCGCCAAATGACAAAACCGATGATCAAATGCTGCTATAGGTCCCCGCTGGCATACTATCTTCCTGATGAAGATCTGAAGAAGATCGGAGAGTGGAGCGAAGAGACTGTTACTATCGTTCGTCGATGCATTGCTCTGAGTCAATTGTTGCTTACCTCCGGTAGCCGATGTGGGGATCCTCTAGCCCAGATTTCACTCAATACACTTCACACACGGTGCGTCGTTCCCACTTGGATTGGGCTCTTCCTCATTCGAAATAGTTTGGGTCGACTCTGGAATACTCGTTCAAAGGCACAGAATCCCAGATATTTGGTGAAGTGGTTCCAGACGGCTCTGCTTACATTATCACGCTGGACGGCATTCCGTCCCCAGTCTATATCTCGAAGAATGTGGTAGTTCCCGCGGATTTCGCGGCCGGTGCGGTGCTCTGGTACGCGCAGTACTTGGACGCGAATAAGACTCATACGGTCACTCTCACCAACCTGGGAAGTCATTTGGTAGTACAAGCGATCCAGTACACTTCACTGTGAGTTGGGTATGTGACGTTTGGGGCGACAAGCTCACACATCTGATAGGACTACCATGAATCCGTGCGAGTGACCAGAGACATTATCCCCCTTAGTTACCAGATAGGGATATAAGGACAGTTCCTTATTTTATGATATTCTTGTAACACGTTCTCGCATTATCGCAATAAGACAACGCGTAGGTACAAGCAACGAGCATCATTATGCTCGAGCTTCGATTTTCTCTTCTCTTTGATCGCAGTGGCACCCATCTGGTCATATAGCCCACTCCATATATTATGTATCGCTTTTCCTTGCTCTCTTCAGTTCTGGTCCTCAACGAGGTCGGCCGACGCCTTCAGGTCGTACTGTACCATCTCCTCCACAAGACTGTCGAAATCTACCTTGCGACGCCAACCCAGGAGCTTTTCCGCCTTCGCAGGATTCCCAAGAAGCAATCTGGAATATATGTTAGACAACCGTGACCTCAGACGTATGCTGAAACGTACTCGACTTCCGCGGGACGGAAGTACCGAGGATCAACGCGAACGACGATTTTCCTCTTCTCAACATCCCAGCCAACCTCGTCCACACCCTCGCCCTGCCACTGGATTGTGGTGCCCAGAACAGCGAATGACTTCTCCACAAATTCACGGACCATGTGAGTCTCGCCGGTGGCGAGAACGAAGTCCGTTGGCTCTTCTTGCTGAAGGATCATCCACATGCCCTCCACGTAGTCGCGAGCTGTGCATGACGGGGATCAGTCTCAGGCGTTAAATGATGATTCAGAACGTACCATGACCCCAGTCACGTTTGGCGTCCAGATTACCCAAGTACAGGCACGACTGCTTGCCAAGATGAATATCGGCAACAGCGCGCGTGATCTTCCTCGTGACGAACGTCCGTCCTCGCCTGGGGCTCTCATGGTTGAAAAGAATCCCGTTGCACGCATACATGTTGTAAGATTCCCGGTAGTTGACAGTGATCCAGTAAGAATATAGCTTCGCTGCTGCGTAAGGAGAACGAGGGTAGAAAGGAGTCGTCTCGCTCTGCGGGATCTCCTGGACCTTTCCGTACAGCTCGGACGTCGAAGCCTGGTAGAAGCGAATGTGGTGTTCCAGACCGCAAGTACGGATCGCATCAAGTAGACGCAGAGTGCCAATTCCATCAACATCAGCCTGATGCAATATAAGCGCTGAGAGGTGCGGAACTAGACGCATATACGAACGGTATACTCCGCCATCTCGAACGAAACCTTAACGTGACTCTGAGCGCCGAGGTTGTAAACTTCTGTTGGCTGGACGTGTGCCATAATGTACACCAAGTTGGTAGAGTCGCTCAGGTCACCATAGTGCATATGGAGCTGAGAAGGCCCCTCATGGATATCCTACAGACCATGTTAGGTTTCTGTGCGAACGACAAACGTGCATGCGCACTGTGTACAGGTGATGCAGCCTTCCGGTGTTGAAGCTAGAGCTTCGCCGGATGATACCATGTACCTCATAACCCTTCGAGATCAGCAGCTCGGTGAGATAGGAACCGTCTTGACCGGTGATACCTAAATGAGCCTATTGTCAGTCACGCGATCATACGCTGCAGGACGGAAGGCGCACCGGTAATGAGTGCGACCTTGCGCTTGCGGTACTCCTCAGGAGTCCCATACTTAGATAGATGGAAAGGAATGACGCCGGGAACGGAGAGTTCGTGGGACATGGTGACAGAAAATCAATATGCTTGGAAAGGCGGGCGACTGGATAAGGCTAAGACGGGCGTCGAACACGTATGGTGGGCTGGTCGTATGCGCGTTTCTTATGCGGTTCCCGTGCCCTTACACCAGGGTCCTTCTTGTACCCTCCCGCGTGGCGCGGTGTCCGTGTTGGTCGGTAGGCTGCGTTGCACAAGGTGGTGTTCCACTTACGCCGGCGATATGTTGTTATCTACTGGATCTCGCACCACAACGAGCATTTTCATTCAGAAAATATCTTCTCGAAGGAAACCACTCTCATTGACATGATTGAGCTGACTGAAGATATCAACTTATTGTGCACGAAGGTGCTAGGCCACCTCAGCAGCTTGGCGCGCAATAAGATCGCCGAAGTTGGTGTCGTACACGCGGTCGTTGCTGTGCTCCTCTTCTTCACACGCTCTGTTAACCTCTTTCAACAAACAACAATGTCCCCTATCATCCATGCCGTGCAAGAGGGGTGCCAATCACGGATGAATAAGAGACTTGTCGGTTCGGCTCACTCAAGCATGGGCATGGCGGTGCCTTTGAATAAAGATCAGCAGAACGCATCTCATAGTACTTCGAATCGGGAAGAATTATCGGTGAATCGAAGCCTGAGTGGTTGTATGAGCAGCACAATCAATCAGTTGATCGCTCGTTCTCAGCCATTATACAATACCTCAATGTTGTTCCTGTGCCAAAGCAAGATAAAAGAGTTCTGCATTCTCATCAGCTTGGAAATCATTGTATTCTCCCGCATTTTACACGAGGAATTACCATTCCACGATCTCTCATTATCGTTGTTCATTTTTCAAAAGCGTTCAATCTTCAACAGAGGAACGAGCCATATCTCAATTTAGTCGGCTAATACAACATTGATGCGTACATATCAACACAGATGCCTCGAAATCCTTCTCGAGGGAGATTAATTACTCATAGATAGTTAAAAATACATCGTATCACATAGCATCGCCCAACAATCAAGTTTCCGACGAGGTAGCCCAGAAGCATGCACTGTGAGAACGGCCGGTCATGCCGGGGGGAACGTCCCTAAGACGTACTCGCGTTTGTAACCCAACACAACTCCCATTATAGATCACGTCCTGCCATCTCACCCACTGCGACCCCTTCCTCTCTTCCCCACATTCCCACCTCCCCTCAACATGTCAACCTCCGAGTCCCAGCAAGTGACCATCGTCGTCACCGGCGCGTCTGGTCTCGTAGGCTCTGCAATCAAGCAGGTCATCGCGACCGAGCCACTTGACTCCCCCTATGGTCGCAGGCGTGGCGAGCGCTGGGTATTCCTGAGGAGCACCGATGGTGATCTGAGGTGTGTGACGGGCTTGTATGCGCCTGAGCTGGTGCTGATTGTATTGTAAAGGGATCCTGCGCAGACGGACGCCATGTACGCTAAGTACAAGCCGGTTGCTGTCATCCATCTTGCGGCTCTTGGTAAGCCATCTTGCCCCCTCGTTCAATACGTGTCTAACCCGCTCCAGTCGGTGGCCTCTTCAACAACATGAGGCACAATGTGTGTAGGCCTCAGTGTCCTGGATCCCGGGTATGCTTACATGCCCTCTAGCTTACCTTCCTCCGCGAAAACCTCCTGATCAACGACAACATCCTCTGGAGTGCATACAAGCACAACACGAAGAAAGTCATCTCCTGCCTCTCCACCTGTGTCTTCCCAGACAAAGTGGAGTACCCACTCACGGAAGCGAAGATTCACCTCGGCCCACCTCACTCGTCGAACTTCGGTTACTCCCACGCGAAGCGTATGGTGGATGTACAGAATAGGGCGTACAAGGAGGAGTTTGGATGCAACTTCTCTAGCGCTATCCCTACGAACGTCTTTGGGCCGTACGACAACTTTGATCTGGAGGACTCTCATGTTATTCCTGGGTTGATGCACAAGTGCTACCTTGCGAAGAGTTCGTTTACCCCTTGTCTGCATGTGTCTTGAACTAATTTTGACTCAGAGAACGGCACACCCTTCATTGTATCGGGAACTGGCAAGCCCCTGCGTCAGTTTATCTACTCCCTCGACCTGGCGAAACTCTTTATCTGGATGCTGCGTGAATACGACTCTGTCGAGCCGTTAATCTTGTCTGTTGGTGAAGATGAAGAGATCAGCATCAAGGAAGTCGCTGATGCTATCGTTCGTGAAATGGGCTTTACCGGGGAGTACAGGGTACGCCCTTCGATCTCACACATTGGAACATCTTGATAACCCAGATAACACAGTTCGATACGACAAAATCCGATGGTCAATTCCGCAAGCCGGCCTCAAACGCGCAGATCATGTCTCTCATGGGCGGATTCAAGTTCACGCCATTTGACGTCGCGCTGCACGAGACTGTCAAGTGGTTCGAGGAGAACTATGATGGTGCTCGGACTGGATTCAAGAACTCGGCAACGGAGGGGAAGCGCGCCCAGCCCAAGGAGCCGGAACCTACCCCTCCTAGTTCTCCTCGTGCCGACTCCAAGGCTCTCAATGCCTCGACATAGCCTCCCCATGCTGCATTGTGGGATATTGATGAACTGGTGATAAGATGGATATGAAGATGAACTCAGATTGAAGAGGAAGGTTGGTTGGTGAGGTTGTAGGAATGAGAAACGACTCATTGAAGAAAGGTAAGGTAACAAGTACGTAAGAGACACGTAGGAGCTGTTGTATGTCGTTAGTTGAGCTGAATAGAGTCACATCAAAATCCGAATTCAATGTTATTGCGAACCTGACCAATCTGACTTGGGCCATGTAAGGAATGAGCACACACAGAGGAACCACGTCCCTGGGCAGTCGGAGATGTCACCGCCACACGATCATTACACCACCAATCAGGGCCTAACCTATCGACGACAACAGTCCACTTCCATCGTTCGCTGCCCTCCCCTCGCACGTCGCTCTTTCCACCCTAGCCATCCATCACACCACCGCTCAAGATGCCCCAGTCAAACCTACAAGAGCAGCCAGCATCAAAGATGCTCGTCGTACGTGGACGCGTCTCGTACTAGCTAGCACTGAGAGCTAAAATGTATGCAGACAGCGACAGTGACATTCTACCTCGTCGCAGCCATCGCTGTGCGCCTTCTGATTCCCCTAAGAGAGATACAGAGTACTCATGTGAATACAGATGGTCCTCGCTAATAAATGGGTGCTGGATAAGACGACCCTGCCCTTGTTTTTCCTCTTTGTCCAGCTCGTGATCGCTGTTCTGCTCCTGCTTCTTGCGCACCTAGTTGGCTTCCTGCGGTTACCAGCTCATCTAGATATCGGCGTATGCAGAGGACTCGCGCCGCTGGTGGCTATTAACGTCCTTGGTCTCACGTGCGTCTCTCCTCCCTTGGCGCTTAACACGCTAACATACCATAGATTCAACAACTACACGCTGAAGTACGTTGACGCCTCGTTCTACCAAGTCGCGCGGGGTCTTGTCCTCCCCCTCACAGTCGGCATTTCCTTCGTCGTCCTCCACTCCCGGCCTTCACTGCGCGTCCTCTCCGCCTGCGGGATCGTCACAGCCGGATTCTTCGTCGGCCTCCTGCTGGACCGCACATACTCCACCTCGCCCGCCTCGCACGCGACTAGATACACGTTCCTAGGCCCATTATTCGGGATCCTGAGCAGCTGCACTACAGCACTCCACGCGGTGGTCATCAAGCGCAGTCTGGAGGTCGTCCATGGTTCCGCGCTTGAGCTGGCCTGGTACAGCAATTTACTTAGCGCGTTTGGACTTATCCCGCTCGTGCTTGTCGCTGGTGAAGGACCGGGAGTGATCGAGCTGCTAAGTGGGACTGCGCCCGTCGTGGGGATCAATACTGGCGTCAGCGCGCTGAAGACGTTCGTCTGGGGATCGCTCATTACGGTATATCCGAACCTTCTCCATTTGACGGCCCTGACTTTTGTCTATAGGGCGTCATCGGATTCCTCATCTGCCTCGCCGGATTCCTATCCATCAAAGTGACCTCCCCCGTAACGCACATGATTTCATCCGCCGTGCGTGGCGTCCTTCAGTCCCTCCTCAGCGTTTGGTTCTTCGGGGATATCATCACTACCGGTCGGGCGTCGGGTATTGGCCTCATCCTCGCTGGGTCAATCTGGTACACTTGGGTAAGGAATGTGGAGACCCAACAAGCGCAGGAGCAGGCAAAACCGGTGTATGAGCAGGTACCGATGAAGGAGGTTGAGGAGGGCGAGCGGAGAGATTGAGCGTTAGGAGGGAGGGCTGTCGACTTGATGCCGACGCTGATGCTGAGGTGTATTGTGGTGGATGTGGATGGATGGCTCGGACTGTGTGCAGCAATATTGCAGCTATTCGATACCCAGGCATACATTCTGGAATTATCAATTGATCAGTGTGCACTGAGACCCTGTCAGTCGGAGTCCGGTGCTGTGACTCTCCGACGGAAGCTGCCTTCCACTCACACTAGAACCGTTGACACCATCTTCACACCACTGACGGCATTCGCCAACGTGTTCCTCGAATTACCTCTAGTGGACGCCTCGTCGTCCGCTCGGCCCGGATGGGTACGGTACCGGCGTTTCGGAGGTTGACTTCCCCGCCGGCGGCTCAATATCGTGTTTGCTCGGTCAATGAGCTGTACACCCAAATGTGGACCAGGGGTGATGTCGTTATCTCTCTCGCTATTCCAACCTTTACTTTCCGTGGACATCCGACCCATCAATATGGACGGCTACCACGAGTTACGCTAGTCCTTGTGTTGTGGCTGAACGACCGTGTTCTCCTACTTCTCTCATCCGTGGGAATCTAGCGCTCATGCCGCATGGTAGCTACAAGAGCGCATCAATCCGTTATATAGCCCTGATGCTGGAGTACGCGGCCTCGCGAGTGCAACGAGATGGAACGCAACGCTTACCCTCCCCCGCCGGGGCCGATGGAGGACTACGTTCCCTATGCTGTCCGTTCTTTGCCGCCTATCGTTCCTGTCTCCTTGCCACAGCATTTGCGGCTCCCTAACCTACCGTCGCCCCAGCGGGAATCGCCTTTTCCGGAATTTGTGCTTACCACGCATCTCACGCCTTGTGCGAGGATGCGTGCACACCCTACGGCTACCAAGCCCTCCATTCGTCCCGCCTACCCCGGGGAGGAGAGTACCGGACAGGGAAAACGGGGCAGAGCTAGGGAAGTGAGCGACTTGACGCACAAGCTCTGGCAGCAGTGGGAAGAAGTACATCATACTCCCAGCTGGGTGGGGGAGGAGGGACCGCAGCTCTGGGCTGTAGTGAACCGGTTTGTGAGGCGAGGGGCGGAGGGAGGAGCTGGGGGATTGACGCTCTTCTTCGTGCATTCCAATGGGTATCCTAAAGAGGTATGTTCTGCTCTCTGGGTGAGAGCGACCCCTTATTTAGTGGTGCAGACGTGGGAACCGCTTATAGGCATGATCCTATGCCGTTCGGTGAAGGTGGACGAAATTCTTGTCTGGGAGTCGTTCAACCACGGTAATGCGGCACTTATCAACGCCCCGCACTTGGGGGATACCTGTCCGTCCCCCTCTCCTTTCGCCGTGCATGTTCTGATATGGATGGGTGGCAGACGACTGGGCTGATAACGCCCGCGATATCATGACTTTCCTGACGCATTACCGCCCGCTCACCCACCAGCCAGCGCCTGTACACCTTCCTTCCCATGCAAAGGAACCAACCGCCAAACGAGTAATTGGGATTGGCCACTCACATGGCGGGGAGATCCTGTGCGTCCTCCCCCAACCTCCGATCTCAAGCTTACGAGAACAGTTGCCGCACAGCCGTCCATTGCCCAGAGAGCTTTACGAGCGTAATGCTCGTCGAGCCTATTATCATCCCCGAGTTCAGATATGACCGGCGTTTGAAGCTCGCGTCGCTCAAGGCGTGGGACATGCTCAGGAAGAGCACGCTTATCCGTCGCTCGGTGTGGCCTTCCATGTTCGTCTGCTACCTTCCTGCAGGACGATGCTGATAAGTATGACTATAGGGAAGAAGCACGCCTTTTCTTCCTCCGATCGCCTTTCTTCCAACACTGGCACCCTGACGTCCTCGAAGCATACATGACCCACGCCTTCTTCCCCCTCCCCGACTCTCAAGGAGTGAAACTAAAGCAATCTCCCTTCGACGAGTCGATCTGCTACTTCGACCCCCGTGGGCCCTCAGAATCCTGGTACCTCCTCCCCCAGCTGGACGAGCGCGTAGAGCTGAGGTTCGTGCTGGGTGAAGCGGGGCATTTTACGGGTGGGGAAGAGGTGAGGAGACATACGGTCTGGAGAAGGAGGGGGAATTGCTCGAATGTCAGGATAGGGGCTGGGCATTTTGTACGTCTCTTCGCGGTTGAGTTGTCAGTCAGGGCTGATTCGTAGTAGATCCCACAAGAAGCACCGGAGCTGTTGGGTGAGTAGAAGGTTGGAGCATTGTTATGTGACCGAAACTGACGTCGGATGCAGCGGAGGAAGTTCTGAAGATGATCGGGAGACATCATCCTCGGGTTGAACTGGTGCAAGCGAGATTATAGGGGGTTAGATATATTGCAGTAGGCCCGCTTTGGATGTTTGGATGTTTGAACTTTCTGTAGAAAGGAACGGGGTACCAGTGGATAGAGATAGACAGAGGAAGCGGTAGACCTAAGGAGCGGGTAGTGTACTTTGACCATCTAGAATGTGCTCTGAAGTGACTGCTGTCATATTGTTTTGTTATCTAGCAGAGTCCATCTGTGCAGTTAGAGCACATTTCATGGTCGGATTAGTGTATCTCCGCTGATCAACCCCTTCGCTTCCGCCATGTTAATTCCTCCGATGAACCCACAACTATTGAATCACTGCGGCGCCTCCCCTTTTTTAAAATCCCTCTTCAAATCCTCAAATCTAGATCATAGATCAATGTGTCCTCTCCTGCGCCCGGCTGGACTGAAGGCGGCGAGCTATTCGAACGCCGGTGAAAGACTCTACCTCGACCAAATCGCTAGCGTTCAACCTTTACGGTTGCTCTGACGATGGGTTGGAATGCGGGCCGCAGAACACGAGCTGCGCCAGGTTAGCTAAGTAGCCTGCTTCTGTACTTTTTTCATGTATGGCAAGTAATAATGCTATAGTGTTCGTGCAGGCGAGCGCAACAATCTTTGCAGCGATATATGGCTGCGTATTATGGTGCACCTGAACGCTCATCGATTGAGCTCACTTCCCTCTTGAGGGACATCTGAACTCCTGCCCACGAACCCACACCGAGTGCTCCTATGCAGCCGAACTACTTCGACCGTCCCAAAGAGTCACCCCCAGGGTTTGGGAACTTTGCTGCTCGTTGCCTTCCGGTTCCCAGGCCGGCGGCGCTTCCTCCCCCCGAGCTGAGGCCTTTACTCCCGAGTGTGCAAAGGGAGAGTCCGTTTGCGGACTATGTGCTGAGCACACATCTTATGCCGTGGGCAAGAGGGAGAGCGCATAGGAGCGCGACGGAACGCAAACTGCGTCCTCCCTACCCACCCCCAGTTACCGAGGTCGAAGGAAACGGAAAGGAATCGAAGGAAAGCAAGAAACGCCGTGCACGCGAGATCGACAATATGGTGCAGAAGATGTGGGAGCTGAGACGGGATGTGCTGAAAGAGCAAAGCTGGCTGCCCCGCTCCCCCGAGGACGAGCCTGAGTCTTTGCTTTGGGTCTGTGCCAACCGGTTTGTGAGGAAGGAACCGATTCCCGGGGGAGTGGTGCTCTTCTTCGTCCATGGAAATGGGTTTCCCAAAGAAGTCAGTATTTTCATTGCTGTTCAAACATTGTGCTGAGCGGCGGGGGTAGACGTGGGAACCAACAATCGGGATGCTCCTGGAGAAGTATAGGGACATCGATGAGATATACGTTTGGGAGGCGTACAACCATGGAGATGCTGCACTGATCAATGCGGAGAACCTGGGGGACACGTGTACATGATTGCTACCGTAGTTCTGTTATGCATGCTGAGATAGCCACAGTTGACTGGGCAGATGCCGCACGGGACGTGCTCCAGTTCCTTACCTTCCATCGGCCTCTGGCGGACCGGAGGAGCGCACCTCTTCATCTCGCACCACATCCGCGTGAGCACATTCCACGACCGGTCATAGCAGTAGGACATTCGCACGGGGGTGAGGTCATGTTCGTCTGTCTCGACCGAACCACAAAGTCGAGAACGCTGACGTATTCCTGTCAGAGCTCGTGCCGCCTTATATGATCCTACGTTGTTCTCTGCCCTCATTATGGTCGATGCCATAGTCATAATGGAGACTCTCGTTGTCCCCACCCGGCGGGAAATCCAGAAACTCCGCGACAAGATCCTTATACAGAGGACGATTTCTCGGCGCGCAGTGTGGCCTTCGCGGTGGGTTTTCTCTGTCGCTCTTCTGTACCGCATATGTCCTGAAGGTGGCTAGAGAGGAAGCAGCAAAGTTCTTCGCCCAGACACCGTTCTTTCAGTCTCACCATCCTGCTGTCCTATTCCAGTACATTTCCCACAGGCTTGCTCCCATCCCCAACTCGGACTCTACCCAAGAATCAGCAGACTCAAAAGCGGTGATGCTTAAAGAATCTCCTTTCGACGAGGCGACTTTCTACACCGAACCGCGCGCACCGGCAGAGACGTGGTTCCTCCTCCCGCTGCTGGACCCCGCTGTGGAGCTCAGGTGGATAATGGGAAACGATATGGCGAATTTTCATGGTGGGGAAGAGTATGCGAGGCATACGGTCTGGCGTCGCCCGATGAATACCAGTAACACGTTCGTGCGAGAAGCGGGCCATTTTGTGAGTGGTATGTTTTTCCCAGCTCAAAGGAAGACGAAGTTGATAATGTGTTTGTTTGTTCTGAATAGATACCGCAGCAAGCGCCTGAGAGATTGGGTATGTTTTTATTTCCCAACCTTCCTTAGTAGATGGAAAGCTGACAGGTGGTACAGCACGTGAGATTGCTGATGTGCTGATAAGGCGGCGGATAGCTTCAGTTGCCCAACGCCCGGGCGTCGTTCAGCTCCATGCTCGCTTATGAAAATACCCGTCGGTGAACTTGCCAAGATGGATTATACGCCAATTGTTAGAGGCGTTAATATGATAGAGCTTGACAACGATGTAGGACAAGGTATACAAGGAAGAAATGAACCCAGCAGTCCTGGAGAATATAGGAATGTGCAATGTGCGAGTACTGTACCCCTACTACGTACATATCATACTCCTAACCTACCTGCAGTAGTGTCATCCTATCACATCAATATTGTTGTACTTTACGTACATCTGGAACATGTGTCGGACGGTGCCATGTGTCTCCGGTTATTCCAGACCCTACTCATAAGTTAGGAATGTACTTCTCATGCATTTCCCATTCGTAACGGCACTCAATATCTCAATAACGAACCTCTCTGGCAACCACAGGGTTGCCTTCTACCGTCGATAACTGATCGCGAATTAAATACCTTACCCATGCTGCGTCCACGACCTCGACGCACAGCTCATTCATTGGGCTGAATCGAATCGTAAGGTCACTGATGCATGTAACTAACGAAACTAGGGATGATCGAAGTATCCATATACCCCCTCTCTCCCTCGAGCTCACTTGTTTCCTGACGAACTACCTCGAAGGCCCCGATGTTGCCGAACTACTTCGATCCTCCTACAGGCTCATCCCCTGGATTTGGGAACTTTGCTGCTCGTCGCCTGCCCGATCCTAGACCTGTGCACCTCCCACCTCCCGAGCTGAGGGCTGCACTCCCAAGCGTGCAGAGAGAGAGTCCATTCGCGGAGTATGTGCTTAGCACGTATCTCCTGCCTTGGGCGAGAGGGAGAGCACATAGGAGTGCGACGGAGCGCAAAATACGCCCCGCGCATCCACCGCAGGCTACCGGGGGGGATGGGAACGAGAAGGGAAGTAAAAAACAGCGTGCACGTGAGGTGGCTAAGCTGTCGAGAAAGATGTGGGCTCTGAGGCGGGAAGTGTTGAAAGAGAAGAGTTGGCTACCTTGTTCGGAGGAGGAAGGACCTGAACCTTTGCTCTGGGTATGCGTCAATCGGTTTGCGAGGAAGGATCCGCTACCAGGGGGAGCGGTGCTTTTCTTCGCTCCTCCAAATGGATTTCCTAAAGAGGCGAGTTATCCATTCCGGTGCGAGAGATATGCTGAGCAATGGGCGTTAGACGTGAGAACCCACGATCGGGATGCTCCTTGAGAAGTACGGGGCAGTGGATGAGATGTATGTCTGGGAGGCATACAACCACGGAGATGCAGCGCTGATCAACGCGAATAACCTGGGTGATACCTGTACGTGTTCGTCCTCTATCTTGGTCAAGTTGTAGATTGAAATGGAACAGTTGACTGGGCAGACGGTGCACGCGACGTGCTGCAGTTTCTGACCTTCCATCGGCCTCTGGTGCACCAGAGGAACGCACCTACACACCTCCCACATCATGCGCGGGAGGACTGTCCAAGACCGGTCATCGGAGTCGGTCATTCGCACGGGGGTGAAATCATGTTCGTCCCTTCCCGGAAAAGGCACGTCGAGGAATGCTAATCTCCAGATGTCAGAACTCGGGCTGCCTTGCACGATCCTACGTTGTTCTCTGCGCTCATCCTCATAGATCCTGTGATCATGATGGAGACATTGTCGACTCCCACCCGACGGGAAAGTATGAAAAACAGAGACGAGCTTCTTTTAAGAAGGACACTTGCCCGGCGCGCGGTGTGGCCTTCGAGGTATGTTTTATCCTCTGCGTTCTATGACATGTCTTGAGCAGGCGTAGGGAAGAAGCAGAAAAATTCTTCGCCCAAGCACCATTTTTCCGTTCTCATCATCCCGCCGTCCTCTCCCTTTACGTGTCGCACGGGCTCGCCTCCCTGCCTACCTCCGCTCAAGGTTCATCAAGCTCAAACTGTGTGATGCTCAAAGAGTCTCCCTTCGACGAAGCGACATTTTACAGCGAGCCCCGTGCACCGGCAGAAACTTGGTTCCTCCTCCCTTTGCTGGATCCCCCTGTAGAGCTCAGGTGGGTAATGGGCAACGATATGGAGAACTATCAGGGCGGGGAGGAGCATGTGCGGCATATGGTCTGGCGCCGACCAAACAATAGTAGCAATACGATCGTGCGCTCAGCTGGTCATTTTGTGAGTTTTGTCGGCAATATTTCGGGAAAGGGAGAGCTGATCATGCACGTGTTTGATTACGGGAATAGGTACCGCAGCAAGCGCCCGAGCAATTGGGTATGTTCCATTTTCAACCTTCTTGAAGTGATTGGAAGCTGATTGATCCCAGCTCGTGAAATTGCGGATGTGCTTATCCGGCAACAACATTCGTTTGGACAACGCACGAGCGCTGGACAGGTCCAGGCTCGCTTATGAGCATGGGAGAACGTGCGAAGATGGACGATGTATGGGTTCATTGCACGAGTTGATGAGAAGGAAGGATACAAATGACTCTGGACATAGTGCTGGGTATACAATGGTCCTGATCCATGAATTCCTAGGCTGCACCGAGCGAGCCAGAGCCCGGAAATAAACAACCAAGAATGTCAAACGGCAACCGCAACCCATACCAGTCTGAGCACAGCTCTCCGTCATGGCCGTTCGTGGCAATCATGTCATGCCATGTCGTGAACATGATAAGGGTGCGAGCAGAAGACGCTGAAAAGTTTTTTTTTGAAAGACTTCAATGTCCGCACGCGTATCGCCCTGACACAACCACTCTTCAGCGCCATCCTGCATATGTCACAATCGACATACCGATATTCCAACACACGAGTTCCTCGCACTCCTGGCACCCTGCATGTTCTCCCCGTCTTGGCTCCTGGTTGGTCATATCCCTGGATTTTGCGCGATAGCAGATGAAGCCATGCTGGGGGACTTCGTCGCAGCGCGCAAAGCGCTGGACCTTGACGACCTGCCCGCAGAGATAGCGTTCGAGCAGCGTATCTTGGAAGCACATTGATAAGAGCTGGCACGGCGAGGGAGACGGGCGTGCAGGGCAGGCTTGGTCGTGAGACGAGGGACAATGCCCTGCAAGCAGAGTTTTATATCCCAAGGCCGCCGGCGATATAGTGCACTGGCATCACACTTCTATGATCAGATAACAGCCTCAGCGCCCCGCAGGGCAGTCCCGTATGAGTGAAGATTTCCTCGTTGTCCTGCGTCTGCTGGATAGTCTGCGCGAAGAAGCCTCTACATGTACGGCAGAGAAGAGCGGACGACAAGGTTATTCTCCATGCTGAGCATACTGACCATCGGTCGGCTGGCTCTGTTGGGCGCTTGACACGTGTTTCTGCCTGGGAAAGGACGGGATGATGTCCCGTCATCCTTCACCTGTAGGGACGGGGCGCGTGAACAGCGGTTTTATGGGGAGAGAACGACGAATTTCCGCTCTAGAGTTGGGGAGATTTCGCTGGAGAAGGAGAGGAAGCAAGGATTGCTGACGATTGCCGGAGTTTGGTGTATAAGAGGCGCGTGGATGTCCGGGGAATTGTGGGGTATAGCCTCTACTTGGGTTGATAACGTATTTGGAGAGAAGCCGTAGGACAGGAGGTGAGATGTACGTAAGTGTTGGATAAGACTGCGCTTGCCGTTCGTCTGGATTGTACATTGGATAAGATGATGGTCCGAAGTCCCTGGGCGCCGGTCAGAAGGGACGTCCTGAGTTGGGCTAGAAAGCTCAAGATCATGCGGCGGTGAACACACTGGGTCGGGAGAGCAATATGCGAAGAGGAGTTGAGGGAAGGGCGGATGGGAAAAGAAATGTTGGACCAAGGGGGAATGTTGGAATGAGAGAAGCTTCCATACTAGGGAGAGGGAATCGGAAGGCGGCAATAAAAAGAGCTAAGACTTCTCCTTTAAGATCCTCTGAGGAGACCGCGGTCTTGAACGTGTTGACTGCCGTGCGAAGGGTGTGTTGGCCTGAGCATTCTCTGATATTTTTGGATCACTAGGTCACAAGATCAGTAAAGAGACGAAAGTCGAGGAAATCTTTCGTGTGCTTGATGACCTGGATGGGCTTTATAGATTGGACCTTATTTCCGAGTTGCATTCTTGGACGGTTGCGTACTGACAGCGGTGAGAAAATATTCCATCAATTTCATATCTGTTGTAGCCAACTGTGGGAATATGGTCATCTAACCAGATATGTTCTGAGGTCTTAGTCAACCCATTTGTCAGACTGTCGGATAACGGTGAGCGTTGAGAAAGTGTCGTGCATATGCGCAGCGTAGTGTAAACCCGGCGAAGAACAAAAGGCGCCGTCAGACATCTTTCATCAGATAAGAGTACCAGCGCCCAGCAGTACCGGCCCAGTCATTTATATTCTACACGACGAAACCGGATGTAAATAAAAGTAGGGAAACCCTTGAATACCTAACAATATTAGCTTCTTCCCTCTCACGTCAAACTCTTTCTCTCGCCATTGCTGCAGTCATTTGTAATGATTGGTGCCTCGTTTCGACCTTTCGCCAGGACCATTGCCTCGCGAGCACCCTCCCGTATAACTCGATATGACGTTTTTCCAGATGACATGTTCCGCATCCAGAACGGGCCCCAAGTACGTCTACGAGAGGAGGAAACTCAACAGCATCGTGGGCGCATATCGTACGACATCAGAGTGCATAAAGATGGACTCGTACATCCAGCAGTGGGAGATGTATATCAAGGTATGCCAGTCTTCAAAGTCCGTTCCCGGCGTGTTTCGATCCCCACTTGAGGCCCCAACGGATGCTCTGATCGACCTCTCTGTATGTACTTGCTAGACCTCGCGCAGTATTTCGACGAGACGAAGACCGTGGCATATCGAGTTCCCAAGGGTTTGTGTCCCACTTGAACTGGGTTGACATTTCTGAATCTTACGCAGGTGTGCAACTCCCTCCACGGCTTGTCCTGTTGCACGAACACACCAACCACCATGCCTTGCAATGTGCAGTGCCTATGAAATTGACTGGTTAGTATTTCCCCCTGCCTTTATTACCCCTGCTGAAAATGCTTGAAAGAACTGAATAACGCTCTCACAACATTTTTCCAAAACTCAGCTGAACAGCTCACCCTGGATCAGTTCTGGACTCGGTATGGCAGCAGCCTGTGACAAGCGAATCTATATTTCTTGTGGAGTAGATTGAACGACCGAAACTGATCTCATGCAGATTGACAGCAGTGCGGGAACGTATCAAGTTCACAGCTGTTGTAATCGTCTGACCAGATACGTTACGAGATCTTAGTCAACCCACTGGTCAGACTGCCGGACGATGGTGAGCGCTGAGAAAGTGTCGTGCATACGCGCAGCGCAGTGTAAACCCGGCGAAGAACAAAAGTGTCATATATGCGTGTTCCCATGGCCGAACATCGATGGGCTCAGCATCAGGAAAGAAACGTTTCGACGTTGTCCTAAGCGCTGATGCAGAATAATAAGAATGAACAAAGCCAAGGTTGATCGACGTACGCTGTGTTGGCCGTGGGATATGCTGTGCGGCCCTGGGTGTCATGTCAACACCGCTTCGGCCAGGCGCTGCTTTGTCGTCGTCGCTCACTCAGCCCTTGGACCACACGTTGGTGGCATGTCGTCCAGCACCGACAACGTCCTCGCCACCGAGACCACCACCAGCACCACCACCGGCGCTGTGCCTCGGACTTGTGTGGTATGAAAAAGGCGCATACACTTGACGTGTAAGCGGCGGCGACGACCCCTTGTTCATCAAGGCGCAGTTACATAAAGCAACAGGGCCACAACGTTGCTCCTCGCCTTCCTTTTTCTGTCCCTCATCAACGTCTCCTGCCACTACCATCTCCCAACCTCGACAATACCGTTAACGTTAACCCGGATTTGATAACCATAACTTATCATATCCTGACGAAAAGGCAACAATGCCATCAACAACGACATCAACCTCAAGTACATTAGGAGCAGGGAGAGGTGCATATAGTCCATGTCGACTAAGTGGACGCGCCCTTGTCGTCCTATTCCTTACAGTTTCCGCATCTGCAAGTCCAACACCGACGAGGACCAAGAGAGATACAAGTACCCCTACCCCTACCCCTGCACCGGACACCACGGGCTCTCTCCTCACTACTTGGGTGCGCTACCCAGCTTCCCTCCTCACTTCCTCGCTGAACCCCTTCCAGCTACCAGTAGCAATAGTCATGAGTATTATCCTAGCTGTATTTGGGCTCACGAGGACCTCTCACGGACGTGCCTTCATCGCCCGCATGCGTGGACAACAAGGGACAACCCCTGCACCCGCTGCTGCGACGACGCCAAGGGTCGTACGGCCTAGAAGGAGGAGACGAGCGAGTCAAATATCGACGAAGAGTTTGCCGGCGTATATGGAGGAGCCGGGGGACGAAGAGCTCGTCCTGGTCAGGTACGTGATTCGTGTGCGTTGTGAGGGATCTGATGCGAACCTAGGGGTAGGAGGACCGCGGCTGCGGAAGAGCAAACTACTACGAGTATGTCAGAGCATACGCCAGACACGATCGACACGGCGACACTTGCCTCTTCCTCCCCTTCCTACACCGCGCCGGAGCATGATAGCCCAGGGGACGGCCCAGACGGGATGACACCTGGCCACCGCCGATCTCTATCCCTCGGAGAATCGATCGGTCATCACAGTGCAGACACGGCGCAAGGCTCAGACGAGAGCACCACGGGCCTCATTCGTGCGGAGCGGAGGGTGAGCGTGCGCAGTAACGCTCCAAGCTATAGGGATGTCGTCAGTGAGGAAGAGGCAGCGAGAGTCAGCGCAGACCTACATAGGATGCGGAGCGTGCGCGAAGAGCGGGAGGCAGCCACCACTCAGGAACAGCAGGCCAACCAAGGGGCGACCGTGACTCGTAGTGGGACCGAGCGTCGCCGGTCAGCGTTCTTCAGCCTCTTTACGCATTCTCGCCAGACTTCGGCAGCCAACGCTGCCGAGGCTGGCACTGCGTCAGCACGCCCGAGCGGGGAAGGAGACAGAACGAGCTGGTTCGGCCTGTCCATGCTCCAGCGGCAACCCTCCTCAAGCTCTGGCCTGCCCCTGCTAACACCGCCCGCAACGGCCTCCACCGCCGGTCTCGCGCGAACTCTGTCCCATTCCACCTCCCCTAACGCGAGCCGCGCGCACCTAACGTCACCTAGCGTGTCCTCCCTCTCCTCCGCTGTCATCTCCGCCCCTCTCACGCATACAGCTACACATCTGACGTTCGACTATCCGCGCTCAGGACCGACTCCGCAACAGATCGCGTTCATCTCTTCTCATGAGGGTCTGGCGAGGTTCGGAGTTCCATTTGGGGAGGATGCACAGGCTGCAGCTGCGAGAGCGCAGGATGATGCCGCGCACCCTCCACCAGGGTTTGAGGAGACGGAGGGGGAGGAGGCTAGTGCCAGAGGCAGCGAAGAGAGCGCTCGCAGCGAGGCCGTGGTTGTGGATGCGGAGACGAGGGCTGAGCACGAGCCGGAGCTAGACGGCCCTGCGGTGGAAGACGCGAACCAGACGATCCGTGGTCGCCCAAGACTACCTACGCTCGACACTTCCACTGCGTCTCCCACACCCGTTCCTCCTACCCAAGAAGCGATACCACGCGCACTCCCTCCTCCCCCCATGGTGGAAGTGGACACCCCGCACGCCGAGGCCCCTCCTCTAGCCCTTTCGGGGTTGACGAGTATCCCCGACCTCGCGCATGCCAAATCGAGACGGTTGAGTATACCCATCCCCGACCCAGGCGACAAACTGCCCGCGTTGTCTATTATTCCTCCTACGCCGTTGTCGTCTTTCCCCCCTACGCCGGCAGTGGAGATTTCTGCGCCGGTGTTGGCTAGTGTTCATGAAAACAGTTGAAGGACAGTTGATTGTTAGACATGGGTTCTGAAGAACTATGATACGGTGGAGCTCTTGCTTGAGTTGGGTGTTGGTGGGTTGAGGATCTCTAACTATTTTTCATACTTTGGTTTTCCTTGTTTTGCATCTATTCACGCATCTTGTATTATATATACTCTGCAATTTGTGAATTATATCATCGTATATGTTTTTCATCAATGCTAGGCAATAATTATGAATTGGGAGGAGTCATAGGGGAAAAACGCGTAAAAGTCCCTGAAACGCGGTCGTGTTGAATATAATTCTTGCCACCACATTGGCACTTCCAGCATGACGACGACCATAATGAGCCAGCCTCAACTGACAAAACTATACCACTGCAGGTGGAATTGGTGTCGCAAGCACTTTACCACTTCTGATGCGCTGCTGGACCATGTTGTCGAGGAGCACTTTGCCACTGCTGAGCCTGTGAGAGCGGGGGATATCCCTGCTTTAAGGAGGGCGGAAGAGGGCTGGAGTTTTGAGCGTACGTCCTACTTTTCTTTGGGCAGGATATGGGGCTGATCATTTGATTAGAATCATTCATGCCTGATTTTACACCGCCGGACATGTCATCTATCGTCAGTACTGGACCAGAGCCATCGCCCGCCTCGCCGCTTCCTGCACTCGTACAGTCCGTCCAGCCTACCATGGTCGCCGCATCAGCAGCAACAACAAGCCCTACTCATTCTTCCCCTTCCCGCGACTCTTACTCTATGGCGACTACATCCCATCGCCGGAGGCACCAGCAGCCACAGCTCGTACCGGACGACAGTACCGCGACGATCCCCCGCCTACCCCCCTCAGGCGATCCAGTTCCCTTCTCCTCTTTCTCCCCTTATCGCGCTCAGGCTGCGCTTGCTGCTGTTGCAGGTGCTGAAGCGCGTATAGGGGAAAGGATGGAGATCGATGATGATCCCTCGGTTGGGGGGGCTGGCGTTGAGAGTGTTGAGGTTGAGGGGCCGGAGGCGAACGTTAGTGGAGAACTGGGGGAGATGGAGCAGTATGTCCGGCTTAGCTCGCCGGAGGCAGACAATGAGCCTAGTGTTGAGCTCGAGCATTCCAACATGATAGGCTCCAACGTGGTAGGCCAGGCTGCCGCCGCCTCTCAGTCGTTCCGAGAAGCTGGACCATCCGAACCAGCACACGAACACCTCCCAACTCCACCACCCGACGTTCCGCCCAGCACCCAGTTCACCCTATCCCAAGTCTCGCCGGACCTCGTCCTCTCCACCCAAGTCCCTACCTCGACCCTCCCCTCCGAACAGCGCAATCTGCAAGAACAAGCCGACGCCGAAGCGCTCGACGCATCGTTCGACCTCCCAAATCTGGCACCGCCCACACCGAGCTATACACGCCAGCGCCAGTTTGAGAAGGCATTGGGATTTTCCTCACCTGTAGAAACGCGGTCCCAGCCGTTTGTGCATACCCAAGTACCACCAGCGTCTATTCCCTCGTTCTCTTCCCAGCCCAATCCCCCAAGCTCTCCACCCTTCTCCCAGCCTTCCAACCTCCCACCTTTCTCCCAACCCCCTCTCGAACCTCTAACCGAACCACAACCGGAACAGACCGCACATTCTCAGGACACTAACAGTACCGAGAGTGTCGAAGAGATCGACCCCGAGGAAAGCCAGGACGACATCCGCCCCGTAGTGCGTGCCCAAACACAGATGCTATTCAGCGCCGTAGCGGACTTCTTAGGCTCTGCACCATCCAGTGCCCTAGCTGTTCCGGCTCCAGGTGCAGGGGAGGACGCTCCGCCTGGGGAAGGGACGGGGGTCGTAGATCCCGAAGCTCCGAAAGAAGAACCGTTTTCTCAGCTCGGGTTTGCTCAAGCAGGAAGGGGAATAGGAGCGCGTACCCCGCCTTCCCGGGCTGAGTCACCCCCCCAACAAGCTCAAAGCCTCGGATCCCCCGCTCCTACCCCTGTATCACCTGCTAGAACACCAGGCTTGATGGTGAGGATCATGCAGGGTCTTACGAGCACTTTAGCCAGATCGTCGCAGTCGCAGTCGCTAGCACAGTCACAGGCCCCTCAATCGCAACCACAATCACAGTCCCAATCACAGTCCCAACCACAGTCGCACACCCAGCCAACGGCGTCACAGCACACCCAGCTCAGCCCCGGGCCCGAACACTCCCAGCCGCTTATGACCCAGGTACAGCCTGGGCTTTGGGCAACTCAGGAAGTTGCGGAGGAGGGGGAGGATGAGCAGATGGACTGAGGTGCTATTTCTTTGGGGGGAAATGGGGGGTGGTATATGCTGATTGTGGATGCACATGTGTGGATGTGGGGTGTGTGGATGTGGGATGGGGGATGTGACGATGTGTTAATTTGGTAATGTTGTAAGCCTCAAAAGAATGTGTATGTATCTTACTGTTGCAGAAATAATGTGATCCAAGTCCAGTGTCAGTGCTGCTTGTTCTGCCTAAGGAGCGCATGTCCAGATGCGTGCGTACGTCTCTGATTACTTAAGGAGCGTGTTATGCGTCTCTAAACTGCTGATAGCTGTGAGCGTCCTACTGTCCTTTGAGAAAGCAGAGCAGAAGAACAGTTCTCCTTCAAGGCAGCATGTCAGCTTATGCCGTCCTGATCCTGGGATCCAGGTCAAGCGAGTTCAAGAGGTCAAGCGACGGGCCAACACACAATGTTTACCCGAACACTAGTACTTACCAGGAGCATGAACAGCTACTAGAATGTACATTCCAGGTCTAGCTCTAGCTATACAGGACATCCCTCCAGTCTTACAGCTTGTGCCAGTGCCATAGCACTAGTGGAACTTAAGCAAGTGCTGACTGACTGGATATCCCGCCTCTTTTGGGCACTAGCATGTCGTTTTGTCGGTCTACAGAGCATTCACAGCTGGATTTTTCCAGTTATTGCACCAAAGGCTAATGTGCACGAGATGAAGGGATCTGACCTGGTAGGAATTGTTCTGATTCGCACGATATCCTCCTCCGTATAGTCTAAGATCCTATAATTTAAGATCCCACAATTTCAAAGATCTCATAGGTTGGCCTTCCCCTTCCCCTCCTTCTCCTTCTCCCCCGGATGTCCCCCATCCGTCCCATACTCCCTGGTCAAGAACGTCACAACCTCCCTCGCTGCACCCACATCAGCTGCTCTCCTAGCAAACCCGCGAACAATAACAAAACAAACGAAAGCACTCACCAACCTCCTCCGGCCTCTCCAAAACAAGCAGATGTCCCCCCCCCCTCACTCTCAAATTGCGCGTATTCTCCCGTCGGCGCCAGACCATCCACCTTGTCGCTTCCTCCCCCCCTGTCGCTTCTGCTCCCTTTCCGTTTAGCAGGAAGAGGAGGGGTATGTGGGGGGGGAGGAGGGGGAGGAGGTACCAGGTTTCTGATTGGGCGCGGGGCTCGGAGAAGATGGAGGCTTCGTCGTAGGGGGGTTGTTTGAGCATCACCCCTGAGGACACGTCTGACGAGGAGGAGGAGGAGGAGGAGGAGGAAGAGGAGGAGGAGGAAGAGGAGGAAGAGGAAGAGGGCGGGATAGGACACAGACCATACTGGATATACGCCTCCAAAGCAGCCGGGTGCCAGGCTTGGAAAAAAGGGCTTTTGAGCATCGCGGACTTTGCTTCTTCCCTGTTTGTGCATCAGTTACTGTTTTGGGAGTCTTGGGTACCCGAGCTCTCAGATTGCCGAACGCCTGGATGCGGAGGGCTAAAGCCCAACGTCCCACGCCGAACGTCTGAACGGCCAACGCCAAAGCCCAACGTCCGAACGGCCAAACACCTGACCACCCAACAGCGCCCACAAACCCAGCAGAACACCTGCCACACTCCCTCAACCCCCCCCCCCCACCTCACACTCACACACGTACCTCGAAGCCCAAGCCCACCTCCTCCCCAGCGCACCCCTAACAAGCCCCTCAAACCTCCTCATCTCGCTTTCCCGGCGAAGTGAGAGATGTTCTTGGATTATTATTGGGTCTAGTAGGATTAGGGCTTGGAAGTGCTGGGGGTGGGAGAGGGAGGCTCTGGCTCT